CAATAGATTCCAAACTCTCGGACATCTTCGACTTAAGAGTTGGGGAGGATCCGCAACATCGATCTCTTCTCGTTCGGACTCGTATAAAGCCCAAACTCTATTCAATCTCGCCAACTGGCTTGGTTGGAGTGAACTCACGCTGGATTCGTGTCATATGAAACTTGTAGAACCGTAGTTGTCTGAGTCGCTTCTCAAAGACAAATCCCAGCTGTCGTCCACGGTGGGAACTTCTCTGGGCTGAACTGCTGCGGCAGCTTCGGCAGTGGCTGCAGCCGCAATGGCTGGATTGGGAATGGTACCACCTGGTTTCCTCACGTTCTCGCAGATGCTCTTGATATCAGCATCGGTAAAGGTATCGAGTGAGACGAAGGCATCCAATCCTTGATCATTCAATGCTGTCCTCGTGGCTAATTCGGCAATACCGATGGTATTCTGTAGATATTGTTCATGGCTGCAAGATTGCCTGCCATATTCGCCTCCAATTACTTCTTCTCTTGCGGTATCACTTGGATGAGCAACAGTTGTTGGGTCTTCTTCTCTGCTCCTATTCCAACAGCAAACTGTACACACCCAGACAAGTAAGGCTGTATTCCACGGAATGAGCTCTGCACACCCAGTCTGTGGCAGTCTAGGCCAAACTCTTGGATCAGGCGTCCCCTCTCCTTGGCTCAACCGGTTTCTTTGGTGACAATGAGGCAGGAATTGATCCAGACTGAGGGATCAATATTCCAAGTCCAAACCTCTGCTTCCCACTTGGAAGTCTCTATCTCTCGCTCCACTTGAGAGTGCCCCTTCTTCTTGAGAGGTCTTCTGTTGCTATGCCGCTTGGAGGTCTTCTCTTCTTCTCTTGTTCCTCTGCCGATTACACTGGCAATGAGGATCTCTTCTTGTCGTTCTGTAGCTCCGAAACGGTAGCTTCGAATCGGCGACAATGGCGCTGCTTCGAAAGGAACGGTATCGTCACGTCGAACGGTAGCGTCGACACGTTTGAACGATTAACAAACTCCTTCTTCTTCTTCTTTCTTCTCGATCACAACGACAATGGGATATGACCGTCGCTTCGAACGAACGAACGGTATCTTCGAATCGTCGACAATGGCGTCGAACGAACGGTAGCTCTTCTTCTTGTCTTCGAACGAACGATCGCGACAATGGCGCTCGAACGATAGCTTCGAGCGGTAGCGTCGAACGTTGCTTCGATAGATCACAAGCTACCACGCCTGATAAGCCGAAAAAGGCTGATGGTGGTGTTGATAAAGAGGTTGCTATAGTGTTGTGTGTGTTTACTACTTGGTTGTTGTGGTTGTGGTTGATTTCTAGTAATCTGGTAACTGGATAGTCATAAATCGCTACCACAGGTCATTTTCGCAAATACCACGTCAACCCTCTCTGCGTGCTTGACGGAAGCAAAAGAAAGTCAATCCTCCAAACCAACTCTCACAAGATTTCAAACCATATGGTAGCCATTATTAGTAACTCTTTAGAAGTCATTCCTATCAGCAGACTAACTAGTCTACCGTACCAGTTACCAGTACCAGGATAACCGTACCGGTACCGACTGGGAAGGCTATTCGTCCCTGTCATCTCCGTGATCCAGTATCCTGCTCTTTGCTCATCACACTAAAAGAGCAAACTGCGCTGGGTGCACCAAGTAGACAATTTTTATACTAACATAGGATATCCAAGTGATCAATTTATGCTTTCATGCATGATAAAAAATTTAGTTACAGCCTGTAGCACGGGTGAGGAACCATCACGCCGCCAGAGGGACTACCGGTATATTCTCATGGAATCTTGGAGATGTCTCAGCTTCCGTGTGTTGTTGCATTGGCTGTGGTTGCTTCAGCGCTCCATTGAAACTTGGCCGTGGAGTGCATTGTGGGCAGATCGTTTAGAGCCTCTTCGCCAGCATCGTCCTCCTCATCTGCAGGGTCCGTTGCCTCTGTAGCGGTTGTTGATTGGCTGTCCGTTTCTTCCCCAAGTTGTCGCTTATCCCCGTCCAATTGAGCTAGCGGGTCTGCTCCTTTGCCATTTTCAGCTACTGTTGTCTCCTGTATTTGGGGATCTGATCCCCAGTGAAAGGGTTGCAGAGATTTTTGTGATTCCGGGCGTCTGTCGAGGACTCTTTGCTCTGCTACAGACGGCTTTCGTTGAGCAACTTCGTCTCCATCTTGTTCCGATGAACTCATGTTTGCATATCCATCACCGGTTGTTTGTGGTTCTATTGCAGGACGTTGGTATGAGGACTGCGTAATAGTCATGGCTCCATTGATGGCGGATACGGCATCCCCATCATGAAAATTGACGTAGTATTCGGCGTCGTCTTTTTGGTGTGGCCTTGCTCCTGTGACGGGTGACGTGGGCAATGGCTTGAGCCCTTGGAGCGCTCGAACCTTGTTACAGACCTGAACGCATCGTTCTCGGATTTGACTTCCATCGGGAAAATGGAAAGAAGTAGGCGGTTGTTCTCTTTGTTCTTCCTCATTCAAGGAGCCAACGTAAGGACTAGCGTCGCCAGGGATTTGTCTACCTGCAGCATCGCAGTCGTAGCGGTTTTGCAGTCTCCCATCGTCCTGGTTCCGAAAAACGCGTTCACGGACAGTTTGAACGACCTTGTGTTCTCGAACGGTTTGCACAACCTTGTTGACGTACTCCGGAGTCTTGTCGCCGTGTTCGCGGACCGTTTGAACTACTTTGTTCAAGTATACCGGAGTTTTCTCTTTGTGTTCTTGGACACTCTGGACCACCGACTTCCAGTATTCAGGCGTCTTTTCTCGAATGCCTTGAAAGACTTCTCGTACTTGTTGCTGCCGCGCTGTGGGACTGGGATCATCACGATGGTTCCGAGAACGAGAAGACTGTCGATGCTGATGAATTTGATAAGCGAATGAACTACGCTGTTCCCGCTCATGTTCCATAGCTCTCGCGGCCAACGCTGCTGCTGTCGCCATCTTTACTTGCTCGTCCATCAAGTTGTACTCTGATGAAGGACCGGATGAATAGCCTCGCGCCTGTAGATCGTTGTTGACCTGAAAGTCGCCTTGCACTGGTCCGACCTTCCAGTGATTCAGCGACATTTTATGGACCCTGTCAACTACTTTCTCCATTATGATTCTTCTAACCGTAACAGCTACCGTAGTGCTTTCTTAGACTCAGACTGACTCGACTGCTATGCTACAGAGCTGCTTCCTCTCAACCTTTGACTACTAGCTACTAGCTACTTGCCAAACTATTCTACAATACAGCGCACTCTGACACAACTCGATGGAAATATTGTTGTCGATCAGTCTCTGTTTAGGAGAGGTTTTGTCGAGTCGTTTGTGGGCAGTTCGGCAGTTCTTGTGGCCACAAAATCCAACCCTAACCCCAGATTTCCGTTGAAATTGGGGGACCCTCGCGGGGTCTCTAAACACCAAAGCTGAGCATGCTCTCAAGTGCCAACTTTTTGTGAGAATTGAGAGGATTTGGCACAAACATTGTTTGCGCTGGTGAAGGGGGGGGGGGAGCTGTGAAGGCAAGCCCCAGCTCTAGTGGCTAGCTAGCTATCGGTAGCTACATGTAGCTAGACATGAGACTGACTGTAATAGTAATTTCAAGTCTTTTGATTGATCAATTGCCACAACTACATAATCAATACCTTAGTAGAAAGCTTGTTTTCTACTGCTTTTCCTGCAGTTCAACCTCAGCTCACTTTTGAGGTCCAGGCAAGTCCACATTGCTTAGCTTTTAAAAATGGCTACCTGGTACCTGCTTCTCATCTCCTATAGAATGTATCGTAGCTAATAGCCACACAGTTAGTCTTGAAGAGAATTTGCTCGGACTGCAGGTTGGCAAGGGATTTTTCCTTCCCTTCGGAAAAATGAAGTGTTTAGTTTGATGTAACTTGTGGTGACAATTGATTTTGGTTTTGAAGCTGGAATGCATTGTAAACGTTCCCGCGCGGGATGAAAGCCAGATGAAAGGGGTGCGCGTGACACTTTCCAAGTTCAAAATGAGAATCGAATCGAGGGATCAAAAATCTGGAGAATGGAAGACACGCTGTTCTCTCCTCTTCCTCATTCACCGAAGATCTTTTACCTCTACAGGTTCCTTCCTTGATACCGTCTTTGCAAGAGAGGTGTCCAGACCATGGTATATGAATGTCATGAATGCGACGGGTTGTTAACCAACCCAACCACTCAGCATAGATTAGACATCAATCTCTCCACCATTAGCATTTCTCAGCTTGATGATGTCTTGGTACAGGTATCTTCGCAGTCCCATGATGGCAGCACGTGCTCCGGGACATCTACCGTCCAAATTTTTGGCGAACCTTCAGAGAGTTCCCGAAATGATACGAGTACTTGTAATGGTGTTACATCCGCGGCCAATCGACAGCGACAGGGTAGGAGCCGTCATAAGAACCGTCGACGAAGATGGAAGCACAATCAGAATGATTCCCTCCAAGCGGCGGTGTTGGAGAGACTAATCCACCACCCAATTCTGCACACCGTGGAGCGAATGTCTCTCTGCCATATCGAAGAATCCATACCCGTCCAAGCTGTTTGCTTATTGCTCGAGCACGCTCCGATGATAAGAGAATTAAGACTTGACGACTTGCTTTTGGAAGGATCCATCAGCAGGACGAGTGACAGTCAACCTAAAAGGATGGAACGGCTCTCCATGACTTGCTGTGGACCGGCAGAAGAACGCCTTCTAAAGTGGTTCATTACTGATTCCCATTCCAATTCGTCCCTTCGTTGTCTGGATTTGAGGCAGATGATTATCTCCAAGAACACTTTGGAAGCAATCTCGTCCCTTCCTTGCTTGGAAAGTCTGCATCTCGAAAAGATCCCTGGGGTCTATGCTTCCAATCTGGTATCCACTCTTAGTCATGTAAAAGGCATTCATTTATATGACCACATGCCCTTGGAATACGCAACGAACTGCTGCAACAATCTGCAACCACTTGAGCTGTCTATAAATGTAGAGTTGCCGCTATCCTCACTTGAACCCATTCAATTCAGTCAACTACTGGTCTCGATACTCCATCGCTCTCCCCGAAAACTTCACTTGGGATTCAGAGGCAACTACTCAGAGTCCAGGATCCGTCAAGCCATGGAGAGGCCTGGTCGTTCGGACCAGTGGGATCATCTGGCGTCAATATTGGCAAAGGAACTTGAGCATAACCAATGTCTCGAGTCCCTTGAACTGATGGTATCTGACATTGACATGTTGGAAGCCATGGTGTCACCTGCTTTTCAAAGACCTCTGGAAAAAATGCTTACAGCTCAAAACACTTCACTAGCCTATTTGAATATTCGCTCTCCTTCGAGGGAGCTAGCTTTGTCTCCCTTGGTGGATTTCTATCTCAAATTAAACAAAGCCAGACGAATAGGTTGGTTCCAGGACACACTGACGCCAAAGCAACAAGTAGAGAGCTTGCTACAAGCTCCAGACCTTTTCCCGACAAGCGAGGAGCAACAAGTCAGCATGATCTTCCACTTTTTGTCCAGTCAGCCATCTTCGTGGGTTCACGGATAGGATTAGATATTCCTGCGAGCAGCCACAAAATATCAAAATATCCTTCACAGGTTCCGTTGTTGAGGCACTACAGCAATCCTTTACTTGTCAAGAAGAGGCATGGAAGCCCGCACCATTCGGAGGAGTCGTAGAAATATTACATTTTTAGCTTTCCATAAAGCGTACTAGTAGCAGGGACTTGAGCGACCAAACACTCCGACGGTCTGGTACGGTACCTACTTGTGATCCATGTTGATTTCGTTGCCCACCCATGCACTACGGTATCGGTCCCACTGGTTACAAAAACCATCATGCAGAGTGAGCAGATGGATGTAGTAAAGTTCTCGCATTGACTGCATGTACAAAGCACATTGCCCCCTCTCCCGTTCGCCCTTTGGGGACGACTGGAAACAGCTGAAAGTCTGCTGAATCCTTCTCACAACAGTGGGCTGGCTAAACTCGTTCTGTGAGGAGGGCTCTATTTAGATGGGCGTACCGAAAGCCGAGCTGAGTCGTAGTACCCAGTTGGGGATACTTATTTGGCCACGCGTTGCAAACAAGATACTTTCACGTAGTCGGTTCATGTCTATTCTTAGAATCTACGCTTCTTCTGGGATCACGGTAGTTTCTCTGTTTCTTTGCAACTGACGGTCAGTTGGAATGTAGTAAACGCTGCTGCCACCAGAAGTCCGCCGCGATGGCATCTTTGGTGCGCTGTCGTTCTCGCTATGCGTTAGAGTTGACCCGTGGAGCTCCTCGTGTTGACCGCCGTCACAGCTATAACTGGCATAGCTCAGGCTGTCGAACGAGTGGCGGCGGACCATCTGAGGTGCTCCATCCTTCTTCTTCGTCTTCTTCGAATTGTCGTTGCAGCCAGCTGCATCTTCAGCGTGCAACAGTAGGTTGGAAAGCGATGACATCCATGAGTTGAAATCGCTGTGCTCGTCATCACGTTGAAACTTCGCCTGGAGAGGGGACCGCGCCGTGGACGAGTCGCGGCTGTTGCGACTGTGATCTGCCATGTATGTTCCTGGTGTAAGTTCGCTGACCATTCCAGCGTATGAGTGAGCAGAGTATGACGGAGTTCCAGGAAGATGAATATGCGACACATCCCACTGTTGGCCCACAGAACCACAATAGCTCGATGTGTCGTGGTTCGGGGGTACCGGTGTATTGTCGACCTCGAGAATTTTGCTGATGCTATTGCTTTCAATTTTTGTGCCCGTGGACCACCGGTGCGCTGCTTTGTGTTTACGAGTTGAGTCTCCTCCAACGGTCGATAAGTCGTGATCTGGTGCAACTGGCAAACAATCCGCACTTGCAGTTCGCAAAGATTCCCACCGTGATGTCACGGGATGCTCGTCAAAATCAGTGCGAGATGTTTCATCATCTTCGTCAATGGATGTATCTGCATACAACCGCGGAGAAGAAAACGATCTTCGAAATGGTGACCTCTGAGAAGAGCTGATGCTGAAATCATCTTGGGTGAACATTCGTGAAGACACTGTCAAACTGCTGATGCTGCCGCCCCCTATGCTGTGACTAGCAACACTGTGGGTGCTCCCCTTGGGGCTATTAAGCATCTTTGATGACGAGTGAAGCGAGTGACCAAGCCTATTTCGGACGTCCTTGAAGCCCCTCAGAGATGAGCGCTTTTTGCTGTTTGTTTGCCCACCATTTAAATTGCTCTCGGGGCTTTTTTGACCGCTTTTCCGACGACGCGGTACAGTCAAGATTGGGCTCGCCTTGAAGCCACTTATTTTGGGATTTGTTGCGCATTTTCGCAGCACAATTTCCACGCCCCTTTTGCTCGCTTCGTCGTCTTGCTCCCGCTCCGATGGCCTTGCGATGTTGGCGTCAGTTTTTCCTTTGTCGCCTCTGCTGGTGTTGCCCCGCTTAATAACAGGATTCTCGTCAAGATTCTCCTTTGACTTGCTTCCCTGGTTCTTATCAATTCTTCCGGTACGCCTGCTCTTTGTTCGCTGAGATCTTCCATCTCTACTGACCACGTCCACCGATCCAGATTGGACACTCTCGGCAGCCTGTCCGACAGAATCCAGATTGACGTCTACAAGCTTGGTCCTTGAGCGTGATCTCGTCTTTTTTTTGACGCCGCTGTCGTCGTTCCTGTTGATCGACCTTGATCGGCTACTCTTTGCCCCATTACTCGAACCGTCCTTGGATCTTCTTTGGCGTGTTGTACTAGCGCTTTCTTCTGCTCTGTGGATAGACCTTAGACTTTTCTTGCGACTTGGTCCATCTCTGTGCCTTTTCGAATGATTGCTACTACTAGCTGATGCCTTCGTGTCGTCGTCTGAACGTCCAATGATGCGGGAGGCACTGTGTGCGCGACGTCTAATTTTCTTTCCATTCTTGTCTTCCAGAGACCTTCCCTCCCGTCGTAAGCTGGAAGGAGCCAGATCATCGTTCGATATGTCTATCGTCCGAACGGACTTGCTCTTTTTCAGTCCGTCCGAGCATCTCTGGGTGGAGGAGGGCGAAGGCGGCGTACCATTTGCAGCCACTTGGTAGTGTAGCGGGTTGAAAACGTTTCCAGGGTTAATCTTGGGTTTCAAACTCGCCAAAGGCTCCTCACCCGATGGCTTCTTCAGGCCCCTCAAGCTCCTCAACGAGTTCGACTTTTTCAGGGTCTTTAGGCTTCTTAGAGAGTTGGACTTTCTGAGCGCTGGCTTGGAAGTCTTTTCTTCCTCGGTCCATGCTGGTCCTTCCGCTGCTGTGACCAATCCTCTGGGTTTCAAACTCGCCGAAGGCTCCTCACCCGATGTCATCTTCAGGCCCCTCAAGCTCCTCAATGAGTTCGACTTTTTCAGGGTCTTTAGGCTTCTTAGAGAGTTGGACTTCCTGAGCGCTGGTTTGGAGGTCTTTTCTTCCGCGGTGGATGCTGGTCCTTCCCCCCTTCTGCCAGCAGCTGGAGCGGCATCGTCACTGCTGAAAGGCGAAGACATGCTGTTACTCCTGCGGAATTTGCGAACCCGATCAGCCCGATCAGTGCTTTTCTGGGGTTGATCGAAGGAAGCTGCACCACTGTCACCGTTGGCAGGTCCCTCCACCGTGGCCTTGTCGTTGTCGCCCCGCAGCGATCTTAGAGATTTGGCTTTTGTCAGAGTGGCATCTAGTTTTCGTGCTGTTTTGTTTCCCTTGCTGGTGTTGCTGATTCGACCATGACTGGCAGTTGACTTGTGCCCTGTCGAAGAAAGCTCTTGAGCTGCTGTATCAATGCTTCTCAACCCCCTCAGCGACTTGCTCTTTTTCATGGTGCCAGCTGTTCTTCTTCGTGACGACGACGACGAATTGGAAGAGTCTCCTACAGGCTTTGCTTGTCTTTGTTCTGGCTTTTCCTGTCCACTAGCAGACATAATGCTTCTCATCGACTTGCTTTTTCGCACGCTTCTTCCCTTCTTACTAGCTCCGGTAGTTTTTGCAATGGAATGGGACGAAGACGACTTGGACATTGCTGATTGTGTCTTTTCTCTTTTCTTTGAGGAATCCAAATCCTTGTCAACGTCAATCTCAATGGACCTTAGCCCTCTTAGGGATTGGCTCTTGCGCAAGTTGGCGTGTCTCTTGCTGGCTGCCGCTCCTTTCTTGGCGCGTCTTTTGCTGCTGATACTGTTATCTATTCCTTTCCCCTCTTCATCAGTGTCAATCAATAGATTGCCAAAAGACTGGGCCCTTCCTAGAACGTGTTTTTTCCCATTCGGGTTGCTGGGCGATCCTTTGGAAGAGGCTAGTTTTGGGCTTGTTTTGGGCTTGCCGGGGAGAGACGACGCTGCAGACGCATCCATGGACGACGCCTCCATGACATCCACGACAGAGGTGGGGCTCTGGGGGGACAGAGGATCGTTGTCCTGCGCTGCCACCGCTTCGTCTTTTTCAGTTCCCTCCGAATCATGGACTGCTTTCTCAGCCTTGTTCGCCATGAACGCAGCTTGATCTTCCAGTTCATTTAAGAGACACGCAAAACTGTTCTCACTGCCGATGCTGCTCTCACTGCTGTCACTGCTATCATTGCTGCTGTAACCCGCCTTGTGGAAATCGTCTTCGCCATCCGAAGACAACTCAATGTGCCCCAATGATCGGTGGAAACTCCCATTGTTGTGCAGCGAGTCCATCATCTTGCGAACGCTCTTCATCTTCGTGGTGCCAGGTCAACCAGTCAAATCTATGCCTATCGAAAACTTGTCTTGAGACGAACTGACTATGAAGGAGATGGGTTGTCTGGAGAGTTGGCAACCACCGAGATTGACAGAGGACTGATTGCGTTTGGTGTTTGAGAGAGAGAGCGTAATTGCGAAAGTGGACACTGCGAGTCCATGCATCGAGGCGAGGGAAGTGGGATCTGAGGTTGGAAGTCTCAATTGGTTTACACTGTCTCGGAAGCAGGCGTTTTCAGTTCTCAGATGCACTGAACTAAAGGAAAGAAAGACCTATTAAACTACGAACGCTACAGTGTGATAGAGTACTCCAGAAGGGGGCAATAGTGCAGTAAGAAACCAACCTTTAGCCTCAGTTATAAGATCAATCCTGTTCTAATGGGGGACTACACGACTACACTACCGTAGTACGCACGGCTTGGCAGTGCAGTACTCTCTAGCTAGCTAGCGCTAGCTAGCTAGCTGGCTCCTACAGGTATCGTGCGTGACGCATGATCCATGACAGTGCTACGACCAGCTCTGGGCCATACGGCCATACCGACAGCGGGGAAGACAATAGCCCCGTGCTACATAGACGTCCAGAATGTCATTTTAATTGCGATCATTAAATATTTGTAGCTGGTGGCGATAATGCATACGTAATGCTGGCGGAGAGAAAGCATAGTAGCTATGCATAGGCCCATGAGTCCGGAGACTGTCCGGCAACAATCTGTCTTTTAAAAGCTTGTTTTGCCGCCAGCAATACAGCCAATGAATCGATCGATCAATGTGTACTAGTAGCGGTAACTTATTCGTTTGTGTCTTCCATCAGTCGATTTCAATGACACACCTCAATCCTTGTGCTACATGTACAGGTAACTTGAAACGAGACGTACCTGGCAGCAAAGGACAAGCGAGTGGAAGCATCGAGAAGGTGTTGAGAACCAATCTTTTTGTCGTTTGGAACGGTACTTTACATGTCTCAACAATGACAGCGCCAACTCTTTCGTACCCTTGTTGATGAAGAGTGAGTAAACTGTATGGTTCCCACTACTAGGTACTAGGTACCACCGCATAGAATAGCTCGGACATGAGGAAAGGCGAGATTGTTTTTGTCAATCAAGACTTGTGCTGGCAAAACAGCTACGATGTACTCGAGTACAGTACTGTACAGCACCAAAACTTACCCAGTACCGGTACTAGTAATGGTTTCTTAAAATCAAGTTAAACATGTTTATGACAATACCGCCTTAAGAATGCCAAAGAATTATTAGTGTACAACTAGTTGTCATCAGGAGTCATAGTTGCCACTTGGAATTATGGAGTGTTTCCCACGGCTTTCTCCTTCCATAATTTTGCCAAATGACCATGAGATGACCTTCTGACCTTGAAGCCCATCTCACGGTAAAGCTTCAAGTATCATACCGGTACCGCGAGAACCGGTAAGTGAAATACATGATGTATTGCGATGGTCCTGCAGATTGTCCTGATTGAAGATTCGATTCGATTCGATTCGATTGAATCGACTGAATCGATTGAAGATTCAAGATCTTCACCCTTTATTTTTTTTGGCCCTCGTTCAGTCGACCTCGAGTCGAGTCGCTTATCTGCCATGCTTTGCGCTACGGTACTGCCGCCAAGCTACCGTAACTATGAATTGCCGACGAGAGCACTGCTATTATCGTGCTACGGTTCCGCGACCGCCGAAATTTTGGTATAGTGAGCAGGCTTGTGGGAGGTCCTTTTAAAATTTTAAAAGCACTTCTTGTCTGAATCGAATCCGTTAATACATGTAGATATTCTGTTTTGCGATGCGTCCATGTATTATTCGTTGTCTTTCATCCTACTACTAGCTAGCTACCGGCAGCGCTTTCATATCCATCGGCTAGAAGACGATCGGGGGGTTCGAAAACACGTTAGCGTCTTCAGCGTAGGGCCTGAAGAGCAAGGACTGCCTTTGAGAACGCATCGTGTTGCTGAAAGAATCGCTGCCACCAAACGACGCATGTGACGATTGTGAGGACTCCAGCCGGGCCAATTCTCTCTCAACGTCTAAGTTTCTTCTCCGTTCAGAACGGTGATCAGAATGATTCGGGAAACAGCCTCTCTCGCAGGCAACAGTGTGGCTGCTGCCGTCGGGTAGACTCTTAAGAACCAATTGCAATGCTTCGACAACCACTGGATTTTCATCCTCGCAGTGCCCGTCTTGAACGAATGACTCCTGCCTTCTCGGGAGGGTTAGCTTCTTGTCCCCACGATGTGGCGACTTTGCAGTGGCGCCGATCGTGTTGAAACGCCGCACACTGTTGTTCGCTTCTGCCTTTTCACGGCGACGGGATTTGTGTACTTCGGAGGTGGTCTTGCGACGAGACTGCCTCGAGGATTCTCGTGACTGCTTCGAGGATTCTCGATTCAATGTTGGTGGCGAAAGCATGGCCATGGAAGCTTCCACGTTCTGCTTTCGTCCCACTTGTGGAGTCGTCGGAGCCCGCAAGCTCGAGTTCAGCCTTGGACGTCTAGCGGCAGAAGAACTGGATCTCCGTGACGAAGTTTCACGGGCAGAACAAGATACAGACATGCGACTCTCCCGCTTGGATTTCCTGTTGCTACTTGAAGATGCCGGAGTCACAGAGCTGGAACGGGAGGAGCGAGTGGAACGTCCTTCCTTGGGTTTCTTGCTCTTGCTGCGATCACGTGATCGCTGCTGGGTTTCATCGAGCCCAGATGCAGCCTTTGAAACACTACCACGACGAGGTCGGCGCGAGCCAGTTTCCTCTGGCCGTCGCTCCTTCTGAGATTCTACCTGACCTTTCTCTTCCTCCGGTGCAACTTCCTTGAACGAATGCTTTTCCTTGTCTACCGGTACCAATGGTCTTTCCTTGTCTTCAGAACGCTTCTCCTTAGGTTCGCTTCGAATATGCGCCGATAATGAACTTTGTCTTCGAGTGCTGGATCCAGATATCGACGTGTCAAGGCGCCTCCCAACCCTGGACGATCGACGCTCTCGGCGTTGTTCTGGCATGGAATCCGATGATCGATGGGATCGCACGCCGCTTCGCTTGCTCGTACTCTTCGAGCGCAGAGACGAAGACGGAATGGGAGCGTTTCTCGCTGAGATGCTCTTCCTCTGACGCGGTCTCTTGCCGCTCCCGGTAGGCCTAGGAGTATTGCTCCTCTTTCCAACATTGCTCGGGTCTATATCGACCGAAAGCAGGAGCACATTATCCGTAAGTTTGTGTGCTCCGATTTGTTCAACCTGTAGCAGTTCATTCAACTGCGTCGGCATGAACTGAATCAAATCTTGTAGGACCTCCTCGTCAGTCTCGTACTCGCTGTCTGAATCGTCCCTGAGAGTATATTCTTCGTCATCTTCAGGGATGGCGCCTCCTAGCATGGCCAGGAGATTCTCACCTCCTGAGGGTCGTCGCAGAAGCTTGCGTTCCTTTGGACCGTCATCCTTGCCACCCAGGGACAGAATCTCTTCTTCCTCGTCTTCCGACAAGTAGCGTGGCTCGACGTCCAAGTTGGAATGGCTCGTCATCCAAGCACGAAAAGATCCTATGCTGGCCTTCATCTTCTCAGCTGTGCTGCTTCTTCGTCGAGTAGACTGCCTCCTGTTGGCACGGCGCCTTGCTGCAAGGGCAACGTGATCGTCATTCTCAATGTCTCTCATCTTGTCCCTTTCTTTCCTCCTTCCTTCGATAGCCAATTGTTGGCTACTGCGAACGAATAAGAGATAATATTATGCTTCGACCCAGACGAAGTTGAGTGCCGGCAGCAACAGTTGCGGGTTGTTGAGCGAGGTGTGGGATATATATATATCTTCCATTAATTTTGAAGGCCCAATCCTCTCAATTGCCATTCAACGATTGACGATAGATAGATACAAACTGCGGCATACGTGGCATTGGCCGAGCGCAGCAGCAGCCGCTTCCTTGCTTCGAGACTTCTCTCAGGCTCTTACGACAGGTGGTTAACGTTGGGCTTTGGGTAGACTACTAGCTAGAGTACCGTATCTGGTATTTTAGATGGTGGATAAACGGTGCAGAGTGCCAGGAAGCAGGAAGTGCGCTCAACCACGTCAGAGGTCTTTGGTACTCTATGTAAGTCTTTCAAACACATTTATTAAGTATGTTTAACACCAACAACGAATCAGAGACACTAACAAGTAAACCTTTAATTAACAGCATTTCTGAATGGAAGCCAACATCCCAGCGAAACTAACTAACGTCACCCATGTTTGTGCATTGCGGAGCTCATTGCTATTTAACTATGGAGATTGCAGTACCACCGGTCAGCAATTTATAATGTTTCATTTAAAAATGTGGGGTCTGGGAGCTGGTCTGGGACCGTACAGCTTACCGTACGTGCCTTGCTCAGTCCACGCTCCCATTGGTCATTCGTAGCGGGTGGAACAATTACGGCAGCTGGAGGAGGGCGCTTCCGCGCTTCCGGCAACGACCAGCATTGACCGATCATGAAGTGGGCTTGGGTTGGTGCGTGGTGCCTGCTGACTGTAGAAGTTTTGAGATCTGGCAGGATCAGCATGTGGCTGGAGTATTCAGCAACACTGGCAGCTGCCAATGGTTGGAAATTGCAACATTGCTGCAGGGCTGCAGGGAAAGGCCACAATTGCACAATTGGAAAGTGAGCGAGGCCAGTGATATGTTGGCTGTGCTCGGATCTCATTCCTCGGAAGCAGATATTCGGATGCGTGCGCTGACGTCGTCCACTCCTTCTTTTTTCTTTCCCCTGGGGTTGATTGAAAGAGACAAACTGTGTGTTAGTAAAGTAGCTTGCTTTGAAAGGATAGCGAAGAAGCAGAAGGTCTCCTCTGCGGTTTGACTATCGAGAACACTCAAGCACCCACTGTACACTGTACCCAACTTGTAGCTGTGCCATTACATGTACCATACTCTTGCTAGCTAGCTAGCTACTATGTAGCTCATCAAAAATATTCACTCGAAAACTAGATCTAGATCTATTGGAAATTGGAAATTGGAAACTGGCCATGTGCCACGTCGCCCTCTCAAGATGTCAAGAGTAACTAGTGCAGGTTCACCTCGATGTCCGACACTTCCATTGATATTCTTGGCGTCTAAATTCGGCTCCAGATCCTTATTTAAAGTAGTACAGCTGCGTTTCGTATTCACACTTTGAATCCATAGATTTACTTACCCAATTATTGCTGATGACTTTTGATCACTTTGACGAACACTAGGTCTTTACGATTACTAGTGCTGTAGTTGCAGTAGCATTGGTATGAATCGGTACCACTACGCCACTTTCCTCAACTGTGAACCCCAACAGCCCCTTGAAAGTACTATTGTTTGTATAGTATAGTTCACGGTTTCCTGCTTGAAGATCCGACCCCAGCAAAGATCTTAAGATCTTGATCGGCAATCGAAAACAACAACCAGCAACAGCCTGCTTTCTTTAGCTTTTCTTTTACAAACTTCCTCTCTTTACCTCCTGGCTGGCTAGAGTCCATCTTGTTTTCTTTATTCCTCGCTCCTTCCATCTTTCTTCATCGTTAGAAATCATTATTTTTTCCTCTGCTTCAAACTTGATCGAAAGCCATCAAGCAACATGATTCTTCGTGAAGAGCCAACTTTGACCATGCAATCCCAACGCAACATCGATGACGACGACTCTGCTCTGGCTAACAAGGTGGAGAGCTTTCAGCGATCGTTGAGTCTGAGCAACTTGGACATCGCAAGATTATTCCAAGATGATGCTGTGCTGTCTGCCGAATTTGATGATAATGCGATGAGTTCGTCTAATAGCAGCTTTGGCGATGACATTGACGCTCTTTGGGAAAACGCAAGCAACGCAGAACAGTGGGCTTCCAAACAGGCGAGACAAGAGGCATTCCTCAAAGCTTCCGCCATGTCTCATGAAAACCAAGCGAAGAAGAAGAACCACGAAGAAGTCCAGTTCGACTGCTTTGGCTTTCCTCTCTTTGACTTGCAGGCCGACAGTCCTCCTCCTCCAAGAACGTCCCAGAAGGCAGATCACAAGCCATGCTCCTTTCCTGAATTGCCATCCATGTCATTGCTAGACAGTGAGAAGGCCGCTCGCAGAGCAAGAAGGCGCAGATCCAAGAACACTGCCAAGAGCGACTCGGCCCTTCCCGTTGCAACTGCCCTCCTGCCGCCGCCACCACCACCAATGAGACGAAGACGAAGTACTGGATTGCTCAGCTGCAAGTCTCATCACCAACAGAGTGATGCATCAAATATTGCGGAGCCCTTTGCAAAGCGGTCTCGTTCGTCTGCCGGATTGAAGGCGGAGGAAGGCTCGGCAAGGCCACGAAGGCGCAAAAGCTTTAACGGTGGCACTTCTGGACTTTTGGGACTTGATAAAAGCTTAAATGCACATTCCATGTCCAGTTCCCAACGCTGCCTTCGGACCAGCGGCCGCTTTCATGGCATGTCCTCCTCACAACGTGGTCATCTCCATTCACCTCAGAGCAGCCGACACAGGCTCCATCAAAGTCGAAGACCCCGCCGCACTCTCAGCGATGGCTTTTTGTGTGACCTAGAAGCCGAGGAGTCTGCCCCGTCCCATCACGGTAAAACCACAGTGGTACCTGCCTCTAACAAAAGGTCTCGTCGTCGCAGTGGCAGCAGGCGAAGGTCTGTCGTGGCCGGCACTTCTCCCTCGAACCACAACAACACCATCGGCCACAACCATGGCAAGGAGAGACGAGACTCTGGCAGAAGTGCAGACAAGTCAGGACCTCACAATAACAAGACAGAGCGGCGGCGAGCACGGAAAAATGATGCTTGCCCTGGAACCCCCAAACGACTGAACAGAAGCGCGAGAAACCTCATGGAAGACTCGCGGCAGACAGCTGCCGGTGTACGATACTAGCTAGCTTACTGTACATTCTAACTTTCAAGGTAGACACATATTATACAGACTGCAATGTAATCTGGCTTGCTTGCTTGCTTTTATTGCTCCATAGGTCCCCCCTTTTTGAAGTTCTGATCAGTGCAGTCCCAAGGTCTTGGTATACTAGTAGTAAAATCGTTGTGTGTCTTTGCCTCTTCTAATCAGTACCGGTAGACCTGTTTATTGATCCAGCAAGGAGTAACTGGAGCTATAGACCATCCAGCTAGTATTGCTAATGGTCTGTTCATCGTTGTGTCAAATCAAAGTACTGTACACTGGGGCAGCACAAGGCTTTCTCAACAACCCATGTTAGCCACCGAAACCACAGCCGACAGTCCTTACACCAATGGTATTGGACATGCACTTGCCATTGCCAGGTGCGTCTTTTACCCTCTATTCCTGGTCTTCTTGTGAGAAAAAACAGGTCGGTTTCGTCGCAGTACATTTATTTTAACATGTAGATTCGGAACCGGGACATTATTATCCACAGTTGGAAAATAATGCATCGCTGCCAGTGCCAAAAGAGCAGGAAGTATTGCACCACGACAAAGACTACAATCCCGATCGTTTCTTTTTTTTCCCTCACCAAGTCGGCAGCGAGCAACTCGAGCTATAGACCATCTAGCTAGTATTGCAAATGGTCTTTTAATTTACATGGTTGCTTCGTAGAACTGGGTGATGTCGGGTTGCTTGTGCTTTCTTTGCTTATGCCTTGGTTGTCCTGTTGTGGCCATGTCTGTCTTTGTTGTAGTCGTAGCAAGTCTAGCAGAACGAACAAGTCGTACTAGTAGCTAGCAAGTACCAGCTAGCAAGTCTAGTAGAAGGATGCATGTTTCGATGTTCCTCCGTGGTGCTCGTTCTCAGTGGCCCTTATTGTTGCCACTCCTCCACGTTTAGAGGCTTCTGTAGGAAAAGCTTTCAGCGGGCGGGTTTGTGCAAGCCTTACCTGTGCAAGGCACATAGTCAAAACAGAAGTACATGTGCAGCAAAATCAATGCTAGCCAGTAGGTGTCTTCTACTTGTTTTGGATATCATGTCAATTCAGTGCAAGCTTCTGGTCTTCTTCTTCCTACGAAAAAGCAGGTTACCACGTTACCACGTTAGCACTCCATCACCACTCATGATTGGCCTGCCAGTCTGCCTGTAGCGTAACATGATGAAAAATCATGAAAGCCTTTACTATACATGTCTGGAGTTGTCTGTCCTCACTTGTCACTTGTTCTCGTCTCCTCCAGTTCTGGAAATCAGAACCCACTATTGTAGAAAAGTGAAACGACTCCCGACCTCACATAATTTTACATGTCACGTACTGTACCAATTTTGAAGGGCAGATGCTGCCTGTGGACACGCAGAAGTGCATTGTTGTGTTGTTGCTCTCTAGCTAGCTACTAGTAGTAGGTTCTTGGCTGTGTCTGCCGGACAAGCAAGCAAGCTAGCCTGGGCTGGCTGGTACGTTCTCGTTCTGGTAGCTAGAACAGAGGAAGAGTGTACCAGTACGAGCAACCGTGCCTACTGGAGAAACACACACAAGCAGCCTTGCCGCTTGCATTGTTGAAGAGCAAGCACGGAGGTACCGGTATCTCCTGCCCCACAGTCCCAGAAGAGCAGGCACAATGAGTTCGTTTGAGACGACTATTGCCCTCAACGGACTGAGGGTCTTTCACACTTTTATCGCTGTATGTGTGTGCAAGTTAGTCTGTACGTCCGGCATAAAGGATGGGGTAAATAATAATTGTTAGTTGGTAAAATATACTCCGAGTACCAAACTATGTGTGTGTGCAAGTTAGTATGTACGTCCGCCATAAAGGATGGGGTAAATAATAATTGTTAGCAGGTAAAACATACTCCGAGTACCAGAGTATGTGTGCAAGTTAGTCTGTATGTCCGTCATAAAGGATGAGGTAAATATTAATTGTTAGCTGGTAAAACATACTCCGAGTACCAATGTGTGTGTTTTGGTTGGCTATCGATAGACTACAGTAGACTGTGTGTTCAGTTGAACACAGTGTTGGATTTGGCCAAAGAATCAAATCTCTTTTTTGACAGTTGAGGGCATCAGCCTTCGGCTGTCTGTTCTTTCGAACAGGAAAAATAAATAGCTGTGACGCTTGTCTTATGTACCCTCTGAAGCCTTTCCTTTTATCTAGGTATGATGCATAGGTGTGATGAGCTGTGATGCTGAGATATGTTGGTCCCTCGACAGAAGAAGAAGGCGCAACGAGTTCCTTTTGATAAAAGTGAGGGAAAAATTAGCTGTGACGCCTCTAACGGTACTAGCTACATCGTACTAGTAGAACGGTACCGGCCAGTTGAGTGCATTCCGGTACAGAGCACAGTACATGTACTGTACCAGTACTAGTACCGCTATTCCATGGATCCAGAGCAGTGCTGGTACCAGGAGCACAGGAAAGCCCACTCGACTGAGTCGAGTGACAGTCGAGTCGTCAACAAGAAGCCAGATGATGGTTGCAGTTTGCAGTTTGCAGTGGCTGTTGCAGTTCTATTCAACAGAAACATTGAAGGGTAGAAAATGGGCTTTTATTAATAAATTGACAACTATTCTCACGCGCAGGAAACATCCAGGAGCTCGTCCAGGCAAATAAGCAATGGCCTGGGGGAAACCTTAACCCTGTTATAACGTTGGGGCGTTGGAGCCCTAGTTAGCAAATGTCCGAAATCTAGAAAGAGAACTTGAGTTTCTGCAAAATAATCGCACGAAAAACGGAGAGAGATGATGATGGCGCCGATTTTGATTCCTATGGAGACACATCATCACCTGTGATGATTAGGCCAAAAGGTATCTTTTGTTAAAAGACCTCCAAGTTCCAACGTTCTGAACAACTTATGGCCACAATGCGGCTCCCGGGCCCAACGATCTACGCATGTGGTAGATCTTGCTCGCACCTCTTCGGCATCGTCCCCTCAGCTCTCTGCCTCTGTCCTAGCACCTTTTCCCATCTTCTGAATTGTTTATAGCCACGCCTTTGCTCGTTGCTTCGTCATTATCTCGACGAAAGCATTGTGCCCTTTTGAGAAACTGTTGGCCTTTCCTTTAAGAATGATAGGATACGATAGTCAGGAGCATCATCCTCAGTTGGGTCTGTTTCCTGGGATTGATTCCAATGTTTCATATCCTTCACAACAAGGCTTTGACTATCGTCATTGCAACTACGCGGGTTATCCTCCTCCGACAGCGTTTGCGGCTTTTGGAGAAGAGATGAAAGGAGCCAAGGGAGAAGACAGTAGCTTTCCTGTTCGTCTGCATTATCTGCTGGATGTGCTACAGCAGGATGGGTTGGCCCATCTTGCTTCTTGGCAACCCCATGGAAGGTGCGGACCTTCTTTCGCACGCATTGGATTCGGCTGCTCCACAAGTGCACTACTCACCTTATCGTTTCTTCTTTCCTTCTTATTAGATGCTTTGTTGTCCACAATCCTGATGATTTTGCTGAGAAAGTGTTACCTCTGTAAGAATTGATGCGGATGATCCCTTCTTTGGTCAACGGCTAGTTGCCATGGTTTGCTCAGTTGCGTATCTTCCCTTCGCCACAGATGGTTTCGTCAGAGTAGATTTGGATCTTTCCAGAGGCAGCTGAATTTGTACGGCTTCAAGCGCCTCAAGCAAGGTTAGTGTGCAGAGCGGCAGCCGATGTTTTGACTGCGTTGTCCGCTGGACGTAAATAGCAAACATGATTTCTAGCACAGGTTAGGTGTTCTCGTTTTCTCACAATGAACAATCTTGTGCTCCGGCAGGTCGCGACAAGGGCGGATACTACCATGATTCTTTCCTGAGGGGATACCCGCAGCTTGCGCACGACATTAAACGTGCCAAGACCAAGAAGGCCAAGTCATCGGACTCTGAGGAGGAACCTGGTGAACCCAATTTTTACTCGATCCCCTTCCTCCCAATCACATTTCCCGCGGCTCTGATCCGCAACGCTCCTCCGCCCCCTGCGAGTGTTCCTGTCTCCCAGGCATCCAAGGAGAACGTGTTTGCGCAGCCGCGGCAACAACCTGGACAAGGAGTTCCGGCAATGCACTGTGCGTGGCCAACCTACACAGGTCGTGATACTGTCCAAGTTTCTAATGCCAATGCTAACCCATACTTCGACGCCGAAGATATGCCTATTATCCATGTGCCTGCTGCTGTTAACGAAGAGGAAAAGCCGCCTATGGCCCAGCAGGCTCCCCCCCCGGCGTCATACAGGGACTCTTTCCTCGAGCTCAACGTGCCCTTGCTTCAGACAAAGCTTTTTGCTTCGCCTCAGCCCCCGTCCTTGCCCGCGTGGTTGCCTGTAGCAAGCAAGGCGCAAGAAATCCAAGAAAATGTGAACAGGGACGACGTAGCTTCTCCATCCCAAAGCACCACGACAACCACCACCATGTGATGATGCACTGTATCAGTTCCTCTACATACTAAATCCGACGCTTTCTTTCTTACAGTTACAGCCATGTGCATCGAAAACACCAGCCTCGCCGCACAGTAGAGTACGGATAGCTAGAGTTTCCAACCCAAAGTGGATTATTTTTGTTTTAAGTCTAGTAAATTGTTATTCCTTTTCAACTAACTAACTAGTAATGGTCCCTACTGCCTACTGTAGACTAAGGTAGCTAGCTAGTAGCGAGTGGTAGCATTTGATGATTCGAGTCGAGTCTTCATGGAAGACGATGGATTGATACCGTTGGGCGGCATTATTTACTTTCGTCACGGTCCTGTCCGTAATTCCGGCCACGGTGACGAAGAGCATGAAAATAAGGAAAATGTGAGCACTTTTGATTTCGCTTTAGAGTTCCGAGATGAACCATTTTCATTTAGAAATCCCCCAGGCGACATACTAAGCAGCTGTTGAAAGCACGTTCAGTATGATCATTGGATAGTCAAAGCTGTTTCTTCCAGAAACTCAAGGAACAGATTCTCGATGACGCACCTGTTTTGATCCATGAGCTTACGTGGACTTTTTGGCACAACATGGCCACATCAAACTTCTGCTCAACAAAAATTGAAAATTGATGGCTTTGGAGCTTTCGAGGTCGGGCGTCGGGGCAGTCGAGTCCTTGGATACGTACCAGTGCCGGTACAGCAGGGCACCTGCGTTCATTCCTTGAATGAGAAAGATACCAAGATACTCCGCCACAGCTACAAATTAGGGAGGAGTACGTGTAGTCCTCCTGGAGCAACCACCAATGGCTCATGAGAGACAAACGAAGCATAGACGACAGGTCCTAGAATAGGAATGGGTCGTCAGATGCTCTCCTGTAATGCTGGAAGCAGGAAGAAGTTTTGAGCAAGGAAAGAAAAAGAAGAAGAAAAGGTCGGTACCATAGGCTGGCCAAAAATCAAATACTGTGGTTGGGTCATCCCGCTGCCGAAATTACAAGTACTAGTATGTCAGGCAGGCCAGCCAACATGCGGCAACGTGGATTCTTGCCAATAGAAGATGATCTTTCATGCTTGAGTGGGCTCTGGTTTGGTATCTACAGTCCAGCACTCTTTGACGTGGTCCAATCAAATTCTTGTTGAATGTAGCGCATGAGTGACAGACAGCTCTTCAGCAGATAGATACCGGTACCAGTACAGGCACACAACAAGATCTTGATGCCGCACTTCAGTGTTCAGCCGTATGTTGCAGGTGATGATCCTTTAAGGAGTTTTACACTGAAAGGTTGAGGCAGCGTGGCAGGATTTGTTAGTTGCTCAAGGCCATCGCTTCAAGCAAGTTCAAAGATACTGCTGTCGCTCGGCGTCGGTTAGGGTCTGCCCTGGCTGTCCAACTAGCACGGCAAGCAAACCAGAAATGAGCAATGCGGGGGTCGACAGCTGGGTCGATGGTCTGTGCACGGGTGACTGCCTGGAGCTTAAGGTAAGACGAGACTGGGCTACTAGACTCCTGATATGCTCTTCCAAGGTGGTTGCAGACATCATCTAGGGACAGTCTTGGTGTATTCATCAACCTAACAAATTCCCTCGCCGGGGTTGCGATTGTATCTGGCTGGAAAAAATGCTTTGACAATTAGCTTATGTCACTGGCTTGTGTCACAGACAGTGGCCACGAATCCAACAACCTAATCCAAGCATAGCTGAAGCGTCCCAATTTACATTTGCTCGCCTCGTCTACGTACGCACTTCAAAACGAGTTAGTTTTGAGAAATCGACGTTCTCGATGCACCATGTCCATCAAATGTTGACATTTGCCCTCTTCATCTAAAGCCAACAATGTAGGCACCAAAAGGGATGTATCCAGCATAAGTTGCAGCAGCCGTCGTCGATGAGGTTTCTGCGCTTCGGAGACCTGTTGTTGAGTATACCCACCATCGAAATGACTGCGCAAGGCAGCTTGTCGTTTCACTTGTGTGTATACTCCCAGCTGCAGCTGAAGCAGCTCTTGTTGAAAATGCAGGTTCCAGACATGAACCAAGGCCCAAATACCTGCATCACTTGATGTCGCGTCTAGAGCTGCCAAGCTTTTGGTTGCCAATGGATGGGAGGTGTCATCTTTCCACGACTGTAAAACAGTCTTCAGTGGATCATACACATCAGCACCGTTGTTGTTTGTGGAGTCGTCCTCCACAAGGTGTCCTTGAATTTGCAGATAGGTTTCCTTGGTGGCCCATACTTGAGGGTTTAGAATGGCCTGAATGTGAATTGGTTGAGTGACTACATGGTCCGCCAAGAATTGGACTCTGCCATTGGTTTCGTCTGCAATTTCTCGTAGCTTGGTCAACTTGTATACCATAGCAAAGCTGGCAAATTGGCCTGGAATGAGAGGATGTGCAAAGGGAACCACCAAGTTTCGTGGAGATTCTGAAACGCTCAGATCATTGTATAGTTGCCGATAACGAGGTTCAAAAATTTGCAGGGGCACTTCCATTTCTGGTATGGGGATGTCTTGTCGGGGTGTGAATAAAGGCAATGGGATTGTTTCCAAGAGGGTTGTTGAATCAGGATCAGAAGCAGTAATGCTATCCTGGTGAAACAGTGGTCCGTTCAAAGGAAACAACGGAAATTTTGTGCTTTCTTCAACTTGGAGTGACATGGGATCGCAATCTTCCAACTTTGGCAGCCAAGACACTCGTTCTAGCTGTTCCCGGACCCACACAGATTCCACCGCCATGATGTCTGTTGTACCGGTACCCAATGAATCAGTGTTTTTGTCGGTTGTGTTCGATTTCTTCCTTTGCATTTTTCGAATGCTCTCGCCCCATTGTCGACTGTACGCTTCAATATCGGGTCTCGCTTGATTTAATTGTCGCAATCCAGAAATGCCGCCCTGAACTCGATCTCTCAATGGCATCCCTGCAGGTAATTCCTCGCGAAAACTCTCCCGCAAGACAGTTCGAAAAACCTCGACATTGTCCATGATGCGACCGCGCATCGGAGGAATGAACTCATCCAGAGGAATGTCTGGTGGAATTTCCTTACACCATCTCATCAAACTTCTATACACGGTCAGTACGAGCCGTCGTTGGTTCTTTAACGGATTGGTCGTCATGTTCTTTATCACTTTTAGCAAGAATTGGAGGCTGACTCGGATTCTTGGGGTGAGAGCTGATTATTGAGAGGGCACTTGATGATAATGTCGATCAACAAGGAGCTAGGCTAAGGGCCAAACAAACATTCAAACTGCACCAGGGATCATAGAAGATCAAACGAGGAATGGAGGGCCGCCAAACCAAATGATCAGTTGTCATCGTCGCCTTCCCTCTCATTTGCTGCATGCCGGTATAATTAATAGTCAAACGATCAAACACCCTGCAACCGATTTACATCCTTGCTGGCTTAGCTAAAGATCCAGTTTATTTATCCAGTTCACAACCAACGTGGGTCTTTTGGCTTACTGTTACTGTTACTCAGCTACGGATGCTTCGCCTTCCAGGGACTATTTAGTATTTGTTTTTCTCTCATTATCGTGCATCCGGCTGTCACTCTGGCACCATGGCAACAACCACGAAAGCAAGGGCAACCACTGCCACCGCCACAAATTGGAGCTACAATTGTCCTCAGCTGTGATAAGTCAATGGAGAACAATTGACCCTCAACTTTCTACAGTAGGTCGCCGTGGCATTGAATGCCCGTGATTACTGCTCCGGGGCTGCAGCGTCCACCACTGCCGCTCTCGTCGATCCAGAAATGCGAGGTCTGTGACCCCCCTACTTTGCAACTATTGTTGGGCTTGAAACAGTAGATTCTCATGTCATCACAATACTTCTCCCTGCATTGGAGTCGACGCATAAACTGGCCACTAGGACAACGCATTTGGTCTCGGTGTTCCTCACTAAACCACTTGGAAACCCAATTGTCATGCCAACCATGGCATGGAGAAGCCGTATCAGCTTGAAGAATGAACTTGCTATCGCATCGCTTTCCAAGACAACGCATACCAATCATGGGACCAGCAAGGTTCTTGGAAAGACCGTGGTAGTGTGTCTTGGAGTTGAATCGAGGGGTCCACTGCAAACCTCTCATTACCTTGGAGTAAAAGTCGTTCAAGTTAGAAGATGGAACCTCCAATCTAATACGAGAGACTTGATACTCAAGATAGTTATCGTTGTCGCCTTCGTGCCTGCGGAAACGACCAACCCAGTCATTGGTGTTTTTGGATTCCTCGATTTGAGGGACACAGATGCGATCTCCACGCTTGATATCACGGATCAACGTCACTAGAAATTGACTGTGCTGGGCAAACGCATTGGGATCCGAACTCAGTTCAATCCTCACCCCTCGCTTCATCGGACCCACAAAAACCATGGATTGTATTTGATCATTTGGGATGTTGAAGCTCCAGACGGGATTCTCCCTCCGTTCGCCAGCTCGCAGAGAGTGGAAAGCGCCCAGTGTCTCTGCGGAAGGGCAGTTGCGACCCTTGTGCAATATTACGCCGCCATCGTTGAACACAGACACAACATTTTCGGCATTGCCGCCCTTGCCAATCATGTCCATGGAAACAAGGGTAGGAATGCGTTTGGCATCCTCAGTCCAGCAACGATCAATATGCTTGTACAACGAGCCAAAGTAGTTCGCCCTGGCTCGTTGCGCCACATCTGCCTTATAGTCATACGGGTGGAAGTGATTCAGTTGCATCAGCCTGGTCCACCCCTGCATGGCCTCCACCCATTCAATCTTTCTGGAGTGGATAGTCACTCCGCTTTTATCATACTCGCTTCGAAGTTAACAGTCCTTCCAGTCGACTGTCGCGTAGGTCGTCTCTGTCATGATGGGGAATTGTGCATGATTCTACCCTTGCCAAAGTTTCCGTCAGCAATGACAGAAGCATCCGTGACAACCACAAGTCTCTGGTTTGCCTTTTGCAGTTCTCCAAGAGTAGGCCAATCCGTGTGTTTCTTCCAACGCGGGTCAGCATGGTTGAACATCATGTCTCGAATGTATGGCATCTTGTCAAACTCCTGCTGTAGTTTGGGAAGGAGATACTCATTCTGTTGCTTCCTTGTCTGGAGGTCCTCCTTGTCGAGCTCATGACGTTGTCCATCCAACTGGAGGTCCAGGAACAAGATCAAATCAGGGTCCTCCCTTAGAGACGCCTCGATCTCATTCTTCATCCGATCCACAAAGTTGCCATTGTCGTGGGTGCCCTGGCTATGAGCAAACTCAAACTTCCCTTTGTTGTAGCGAATATCAAGGTTGTGTCCATTCACGTTGTGTCTTTGGATCAAAGTTTTCATATCATAGGCTTGGGATTTCCGGCCTCCTCCAGTCTTCGTGCCAGAGTTGCTGTTGTGGGCAACAAGGAAAGTTTGTTCGTGGAAGCGTCGATGTTTTGGGAAATGAAACCCTGCATCCTTTGGGATGTTCTTCGGACCGCGGCCATTGTTCTGCAGTATCTTCTGTTGGGAGCTTTTTAACCGAAGCTGGCGGTCATACTGTGAGCTCAGCTCCAGTTCAGTGCTGTTGGGGGCATTCAGGTTGACACCACCGTCGCAGAGGTCAAGCCACAGCTGGGGCCCTTCTTCTTCGCTGGTCCAGTCGTAGGACGTTGGTACATTCTCATCATTACAGGTGTCCAGAGCTGAAGGATTAGTGTCATTGGTAGCAGTCAATGAACCTCGAAGGCCTTCCCCCCAAAGCAGGCCCAATGGTGCATGCTATGGCCAGGAGGAGCTGGAGTCGGAAAGATAGCTTCATTGCAGGCAGATAGTCCGTAGCTAGTTTGCGGTGGATCAGTTTGTGAGTTGGAAAAGGCGTGTAGTAATGTGCGTTCGATCCAGGGGCAGAAAGGAAAGTGTGGACGATACTGTTTCCTGGGGTTGGTTTTTGGAATCTCTCCAATTGGTTTGTGAGCAGATGGGAAAGGGGCCAGAGGCAAAAATCTCGAACTCCGGTGGAAGGACCAGAACTTGTCACCGTGCTCAACACAAATTATAGCAGCCACTCAAAACATATACGCTCTAATTGACGTATTTTGGGCAATGCCTGCTGATTTATACATTCCCTTGGCTTTGGTTGTGCGGCTTCAGACACAGTCGGCATCTGTTCCATTCACAATGCTGTGATCTCTGGCGCGAGCAACTTGTTTGACGGTGGCTGTAGTTTGTTTTGGTAGCTAGCTAGTATTTTAAGAGCACAGTTCTCGCAGCCTGCAGGCTTGCTGTACCAGTACTAATCACCACCCCAACAATCCCCCCACGGCAGCCGCAACTGTCTGCGTGCGTGCAGAAGCAAGCTTCCAGCCAAGTACCGTAGCAAGCCAATGACCATGCAGCTACTGTAGACAGCTTATTTCGCAGACGAATGATGCACTCCTCGTCCTTCGCCCGGAAGAATCGGGCACGGAACCAGGTGTGTATATCCGAAAGTACTTGCACAGGACACGGACTTGGGCAACACTGCAAGTTGCCCTTCACCGGTTTCAGTGCTCTTTGCTTTCGACATTGTTCTCACCCAGCCGTCTTTTGTCAATGTCATTCGCTTCTCCTAACATCGGAACCTAGATACGGTACCGGTAAAGCAGAATTCAGCCTGGACAAGCCAAACCAGCTACCACGAGGAGCATACCGGTAGCAGGATTTGCATTCTGCGACGGACGCGTATTACCTACCGGTACCAGGTACAGCTTACCACACCAGCATGCTGCTTGAGGATTTCGCTTGACGGAGAAGAAATCATCACTGCCTTTGGCAACGCAGCAGGCCTTGGCGCCATCATATTATTAGCTTTGCAGTAGACTACCATGCCTTACATGATTGCAGGATAAGATATTCGTCACCCTCCTGTGGTACTTTGCATTGGTCAATATATGACATCTCATTTGGTCTCTCAACATTCTTCGCCAAACCACCTCAAAACTTGCTTGTAAGGTTCATTCTTTTAGTAAGTTAGATGTTCAACCTGCGATTGGGGAGTGACAGTCACCTCCACCTCGAACAACCTTGGCTACAACTTCCAAGAGCTGCCACGGCCACGAAGTCTTTCAGCCATTGCTCTGTCACTGCAGGTTCATCGCACAGGAACGAAAACTTTGCGAGAGTAAGTGGCATAAACAGCTTGGCTCCAATCTTGCTCTTGGGATTTTCCTGGGGCTTGTCCGTCAGCGCTCTGGAGTGCCCGTTGGAGGGCTCGTGGATCACAGTTCGACTTTAACCAAGGGTGACTCAGAGCTTGGTTCGCAGTGCTCCTAGTCTGAGCATTGTAACACAAAAGTCGCATTATCAAATGTTTCGCTTCTCTGGAGACATCGTCAAAAGACGGAGATCGAAGGTTGTAGGATCCACGAAGAACGGCATGCTTGATAGCCCCTTGGTCCTTGCCATGGAACGGAACACCACCCGCGAGGAGGGCAAATAGTACAACTCCCAAGCTCCACGAATCACAGGCTTCGGTGTATGATTTCTGAAAACATTCCGGGGCAATGTAATGGTAAGAGCCAACAACTCGAGTGAGCCTCTGGCCCTTAGCGATTGGAGTTGCCAAACCAAAGTCGATCAACTTGAGTGGGCTCCATACGTCCTTTCTGGATAGAACGACGTTTTCGAGCTTGACGCTAGTGTATCCGGCAAAAAGAAAATTAAGTTTGGTGAGAGAAAATGTTTCAAACCAAAGCAATGCAAGGAGATGAATCGAATGATTCAATCGCACGCGGTTCCTCCGAACGTACTCTCTGTGCACGATGCCGCGGGAATGTAGAAACGCAATCGCCGACAATAGCTCTGCAATAGTCTTGGCTGAAGCAGTCCAAGTACGAGAGGCAGATGTTGAGATTCTAGAAGCAGCAGCAGCAGCAGCAGCAGCAGCAGCGTGATTGTCTCGCAAAAACCTTGTCTTACCTGCATAAAACTCCTTCACTTTGTGCACCTTCTTATTCTTTAGTAGGTTAAGCAGCGTTCCACCAGTTCCCAATTCGGTGATGACTAGCAATTCTTGGTTGTCAATGTAGACATCATGCAGTTGAATGACATTTTCGTGGCCCTGGACTTGGCGCATAATCTTGACCTCCTTTAGTAGTTTCGCGAGTTTCTTGGTCTCGCTGGGCAGCACGAGACACTTGCACGCCAGTGTTGTGCCATGTGTCTTGTCGTCTTCGTGACCTGACTGTCGAAGGTTGAACAGTTTGAATGCTCCTTGTTTGGATGGTGCGTTTTGTTGGCATCTCGACGCCACGCAAACTTGGCCAAAGGAACCTCGCCCAAGAACGGAATGCCTATGCAACACGTAGGAAGGCGTCAACTCAGGGTTGTCCTCATGCGCACCTTCGATTTGGTTTTCGACGCTGCTTTTGCTGTTTTTTGAGTAGTAGGACAGGCCATCGTCGTCGTCAGTAGCAGTCGAGAGGAACGCGTCAACATCAGTGAACGTTCCATTGGTCTCATCCAAGAAGTTTAGGCTTTCCAGGTTCATCTTTTTGGAGGGATATATTCGCTGTTTTCCTTGGCCGCCCCGTTTTGTCAGGAGCTTCATCATGGTGGATCGAGATCAGACGGGGTGGAGCAAAGCGAATGATCAATCTATCAATCCAAACCTTCGAATTCAGCTGAGTTTGCGCTTTTCTAGTTGTAGAATATGAACGAGGAAGAAAAGTAGTGCGTCCACCAGCGTGTTTCCGTCCTGATCAAAACGTTCATGGCCGCGGCGTTAGCATTCATCATCCGTCGAATGTTGTCATCTTCACCATCATTTCTAACTCAATCATTTGATGACAAAAATATATTTTAAACTGGTTTCATTCCTGCGAGCAGGCTTTGCTTCGATGCGATATGCAGCCATCAGAGCTGCAATGACGGGACGAGCTAAGGGCCGCATTTCCGTACCAGATTACCAGTACCGTTTTCTAAGCAGTCCTCAATCGCCCTGAACTCTTAATCTTGGAGAAGGGAAAGTGACTTAAGCGGTAGACGCCGTAGACTCTTGAATCAAACATGGAAAGTTTTTGAAGGGCCTATAGCTTAAATAAAGACTGTAAGCTCCATTGAATATGACTGGACGGCAACCGAGATTGGAGAGTTTACTGGTTGAGAGCAGAAATGAAGTGTGAACAGAGTCACAGAAGAAGAAGCCCCAGCAAATAGCAACAACAGCAACCGAGAGAGAGCAGAAGCAACAACGATCACCACCGTCCCATTATCGGCTGGCTGAGCTATTTTGGTAGTAGACTTTGTCGACCTCTTCGCACAACAACAGAGGTTTTGACAACCAACGCAAACGAAAGTAAAACGTAGAAGGGAGCTCGAAGTGACGGTCCTTTTGCTGCAGCCATTTCGCCCGACGAGTAGTAGTGAACTTCTCTTAGAACCGCCACCGATCGATCGTGTGACCAACCGCCGTACAAGAATACTTTGGTACAACCATGTCGACGTTTGAGAATGAACGAGGCCTTCCACCGGCGCAGCGCAACATGAGCGCTGCTGCTCGTGCTGCTGCGGCCGACGCCCTTGTGAACGAAGAGCCGCGGGCCAAGCGAGTCAAGTCCGACCCGACCATGACCATTACGTCGCCCGAATTGGACCGCTCTCGTCAAGTGGCATCAGCTGCCGTCAGTAACGAGAAGATTGCCAAGTTGAAGCAGCGTCAAGTCATGAAAGGTCACAAGGTTAGCAAGCTGACGGACTTTGATTTCGCCCAACAAGCCATTGTAGCCGACAGCGAAGACGACATTGACGCCATTGTGGAGCGTCTTTACAAACTGCAGTGTTTCCGCGATGAGTACCAAATACTAGACACGGTCGAGGAAGGAGTCGCGTTGATCCAAAAACTCATGGAGATCATGCCTGGATACTTGCTCAGTGTCGACTTTGCTCCGCGCTACGGCTCGCACATTTTCGTTTGGGACTTTGCGGCATTCCAACCCGCCACCCTCCAAGACCCTGACAAGATGCGCATCTTCATGGGAGCTCTCTACTACATCTTCCAGTGTCTCAGCACCAACTTGAAAGCTGCCAGAGCCGGTGTTGTCATCATTACCGAGTGTCAGGGCATGACCAGTGAAAACTTTGACTTTCATATCGAACAAAAGATGCTCTCGGAACTCTTCTGTCATTACCCATTCAAGTACAAGGAGTGCCTCTGGCTAAACACTCCCGTGATTGCCAATATTGCCTATGGTCTTCTCAAGCCACTCGTGAACAAGTCCTTCCTGGCGACATGGAGAATGGGATGCAAGCTAGATGGATACGAAGGACGCGTCGATTCGCTCTTCAAGCAGCCAACATTGGCCATTGCACAAGAACAATTACTCAAGAGAGTCGAAGGATTTCTCACGGAGCGAGCTCAAAATGTTCGCAACTTTGAGCTTTGTGAAAAGATGGTCTATAACCCTCCACCGGAAGGACAAGGACCGCCTCTTCCTGCTGCTGCTCGAGGACCAAGACCACAAGGAGCTGCCGCTCGAGGTCCAAGACCTGGAATGCCGGGTCCAAGACCTCCCATGGCAAGACCGGGCATGAGACCTGGCATGCAAATGCCAAGAGCCGGCCCTCGGCATGCAGCGGCTGCCTCTGGTATTGCACAAGCTCGTGCTGCACAGCTTGCCAGAGCCGCCGCCCGGGCTGCTGCCGCCGCTGCTAGAGCTAATGCTAATGCAGAAGGAAACTGAATATGAGTTGAAGTGAATTCGGCTTTTCTTTCTTGCACTCTAACTCTTCCTGCTTGGAGACGTTTTTGGTGGCTGTCCGTTTGGCCTGGGGACAAGCGGAGGACCAAAAACAAGTGTCATTCTAATCAATCAAACAATCGAAGCATTGGCGTAACGTCATGATATGACTAGAATATCATGGCGTTGCCCCAATCTATCGATCAGACAAACAAACGAACGAACACACAAACACAAAACAGATAAATGACTGTACGGACAAATTGTACAAATAGAGGTTGCTCTTCATAACGAAACAGAATCTTTTTGAAAATACATATTCAGTACCTTTCCATTGTCGAGATTTTGATCGACGTGTCGGCTTAGCTTTAGGCTGGAAGCCTTCTGTGGTCGAGCACATCTAAGTGTGCGTGGCGTTGAATCTTAATTGCGGCGTACCGGTAGCAATCTTTTGGTGGGGCCTTGGCTTGGACTGCCACTCGGACCGAATGAAGAGACAGAGTTATGGACGTAGCTGGTTTGTAGCCAGCACATGCAGCTACTTCGGCGGCTGGGGGCTACCGATTTGTGTGTTGCTCGAATCCATTCAATGCTTCAATGCATCCGTGTCCGACGAGCGGATCTGCTTTGCCCCTAAAGAAAATATTGCCACCGCAAGAATCATTTCCAGAGCTGAAAACCAAACACGGGTACCAGTGTTGTCTCACTAGCTAGCTAGCCATGCACCAGGATCCTCGGTATGGCGTACCGGTGCACTGGCTACCAAGAAGCCGGTTACAAGATCAATTGTGAGCACACTCCAGCCTTTTACACGGACATGACCCTTACCAGAAGGATAGCAAGCAAGAAGATTGGACAAGCCGCAATCCTTTTACTTGCTGTGGTACGGTATCCTTAGCCTTGGCTGGAATTTAAGTCGTGCAGGCAGATCTTGGTTGTTTAACCTGGACCTCTGCTCGAGCCAATGTATCTATTGTACTAGGAAGATGCCATGTCAGACTGGTACGCCAAAGATCTATTTCGTGGGACCGCAGTCATCATCTGTTGCTCCGGCTCGAGATTGCTGTTGTATGCTTCGAGTGGCTCTATGTCTGAACCCAAGGAGCAGTTCACCTCCAGCAGTGCTACCGATTGAGACCGGACGATGTGTTGTCCGGGGTCCTACAACTAGCTACCGGTAGGAAGGCTCCACTCGACGGACGATCAGCTTATCAACTGCCGAGGCGTGAAAAGGGAATCCTTTCTAAGGAAGTGGTTGGTTGAGGCTGGTTTGCTGCTTGTTGAAACGAAAGTATGACAGGTCATTGTCCTTCCAGCGATTTGGCATGCGAAGGGATACGGCTACCAGACCATTTTTAATGAACATCAAAATCATGTCTTTCAGGCTACCGTACCGGTAGCTAGCTACTAGTAGGTGTTAGGACTACAGTAGGTACTGATCTGCAATCAAAAACTTCTAAACTTTAACCCGATTTCCATTAGTACATACATTCCTTGTGTCCAGTGCCTACCGCTCGTCAAACGCCTGGTTGAAGGGTGTTTTGTACAGATATTCTTGTACATCGAATTCCTTCGTCTGGAGACCGGTGTCTGGAAGCATCCAGGTTGTGGCTTGATGAGGTTCGTAGTACGCACCAAGAATCTTTTCCTTTTGTTTGGTTCCACTGACAAAGACGATCTTATCCTGTGTAGCTTTTCCCAAGAAGGGTTGAAAGATCTTCCACAAGAACGCAAAGGAAGATGGAGCATCCACAATGAAGATCTTGTGTATGTGCCCCGCAAAGTGTTGTCGCATAGTCAGAACAAACGTCTTGCCCAGAGACATGGGAGGAGCATTGCGAACAGGGTTAAACCCAGCAAAGTCCAAGATGGCATTGACCGAGCTGTCCTTTGCTTGGCTGCAAGCAATGGCCCGTTCCATTGTGTAGTACGTCTCCTTGAGGGTCCATTCGTCGTGATGATGGACCGTTTTGCGAGGGACAAAGATATGTGTCGAGCGCCCTTCCCTATCGTAACATCTGACATAGTTCTTTCCACTTGACAGGTACTGTTCGAGTGGTGCCCTGTATGGGTTGGAACTGGACCATGGACTTTCATCAAAGGCCTGTCGCAATCCGTCCATGTCGACTTGCTCTCGAAATGCCAGAGTCGTCTGGAGCTTTCTCAGTGCTAGCTCAGCATTCCCCTTTTTGGATCGTAGGTATCGCAGCGCGATTTGGCGGGCGTACAAGGTGGCCTCGTATGCATCTGGATCCTGAAGATACTCGTAGGAAGCATTGGCGGCTGTTTCCAACTCCTTTTGAGTCAAGTGGGAGAGCATCCAATCCAGTTTGATCAGAGTCTCTGGAGCGACGTTCGAGGCGTAATCAAGGGAACGACGCCGTTGTGGTTCGTCTGTTAGTGGCAGCGGAAGATTCAACTTTTCAGGAGACGACAGGACATCCAATAGCATGGAACTTCTCGGAGAATCTGTCAAGATGAATGGCCCATTGCAAGAGCCAGCCAAAAGGGGAGTTACGGTGCAGGATGCCATCGTTGGGTTGTGGATAGATTAGATTGAAGAAGGAGTATGTTTCTAATGGAGGATCAGATTTGTGAACCTTCCAATCAAGCCATCCAACACAGAAGGCTTTTGCCTTGACGGATCGAAAACCTTCGCGGGCAGGGAAACAGAAAACAGAATGGAAGCTGTCTTGGGTCCTGTTGCCGGCGAAGTGGAAAATGTGCAATCAGTAGCAGCAACCTAGCCAACCAGAGCAGATATCGACCAATCTGGCGCTAGCCACCAAAAAGATGATAGAAGTCCCCAGCATGATCCTGCGGCAGCAAAGCTGACCATGCAAGCAAGAACACTTTCTCCGAAGGAAAAAGAGCCTGCGATGTTTGAGCGAGAGAGTACGACTGTACAGTATCGCCGAGTGACGAGTCTCGGACGGAGAGCCACGTACCGGTACGACTGTATCCAACATCGTCAAAATTCTTGTGAAAAGATGTTAGATCCCATTTGGCCTTAGTGTTAAGATGGCTAGGATCGAATACTAGTAGGTAGTTTTAACTGAAAAAGTAAATGTAAAACACAGGCCACTGTCTGTGGTTAGTTTGGGTTGTTTGGCTTGAATGGTGCATCTCCTCTACCACTATTATGGGAGTGCTTACTGTACGCTTGGGCAAAATGGTTCGTACGTGCAAAACTTGGGATTGTGTTGGCATGTTTTATGCGATCATTGTAGACTCTCGAGGCCGTTTTGAAATTTGCAAATGCTGCAGCGTCATGCCTCAAAGGTTTAGACAGTGCTGATTGGGTTGGACATAGGATGTCTTTGCTGCCGGGAAGACATCATTTATTCAGTGTCCCTGTCTCAAGCCAATTCATCTTTGGGGACTGAATGATCAACTATACAGGTAGGTACGGTACATGTAGAACCAACTATCTCTTTCATATTCATCTTAAAACTAGTACAACGTATCAACTTTGCGTTTGGGGGATCTCAGTGCCCACTAGCGTTTCTTTTGAAGCGGTTGTAATCATCTTTAGGATACCGCTACCGCTACTCTAGTACCGGTACACGATAGCAGCCCGTACACACTTGCACAGGTACATAGTATCTTAATGATAAGGTATCTATAATGCTCTATAATCATTCAATTTGAGTTGCCAGCAAGAAAAAGATTTAAAGGTCACTAAAACCATAAAGCGCGACTAAATATTTGTAATTTTGGAGTGCAAGACTGATCTGAGTCAGTGAAATTTCAGCCAGCACACTGAGCAACAACGCAGAGGCAAGATGATGATGATGTAGTCAGCTATCCGGGTTGGGTTGCGAGTATCAGTTGTTTGACCATGGTGGATGTGTTACCCAGGACCGCCGCTCGTGGTGGCTTTGTCTCAACAAAAGCTTGGGTTTTTTGGGTGTTGCTCCAGTCAATCGTGTTACCACGGACCTCGGCGTTCCGAACGGAGTCTTCCTTGTCGAGAAGGTTTTCACTGATTCCGCGGAGTTTGCACAATCCCAATGCAAATAGCAATCATGTTGATGGTGCTGAATCAGCATGTACCTCAAAAATCACTTCACATCGACGAGAGGCTCTTGCCAAATTCATGGCTCTGCTCTCTGTAACAGCCACCACTCCGCCCACGCCAACCTTGGCATTGGACATGGATGCCTTCATGAGTCAGGAACTCTCGAGCAACCGCGGGAATGATGCTTCCTTGAAAGAGATGAGTGACGATGAAGCACTGTGCAAGTTTGGGCAGCCCTCCAAGGAACGGGGGGAGGCTTGTATAAGGTAAGTTATTATTGAGATCTATGATGGCTAGCTAGGTGCTGCTTGCAGCGATTGTGAGAAATTCTCATTGGGTTCGTTTCGGAATGAATCGCCAGAATGGGCTTGCCTACTACCTTGAAGAAGGGAGGTGTAGATGCGTTTGGCAATGTAGATCGGGGAACCTTTGTGCGTTGTAAAATCATCTATGTGGAAGATCCTAACTCACCCAACAAGGGCTTTCTCATGAAGAAGACTGTTTGTGATTGAAGAAACGAGAGCATGCGGTTCTTTTGCTAGCTATGAATACTATCTGCCGGGGATCCACCGTTGTGCTGTTCACCGTGAACACAGGGTGGATTCAAAATTTCTAGGGCACACGTTGTGCTATAAGCTACTGCTTCATAAATCAATTGAATCAATACCATCGCATACATGTCGCGTCTTGTGCTTATTGTACGACAATCTGTCCTTCTTTGGGCGTCATTGGCCGCTGCGAATTTTCGTTATAGAACCATTTGCGAAAGAGCGAATGATTCAATCGGATCGTAAGAAGCACGGCAACTACTTTTGAGCATGTGTCTTGTTTGAAAAACAGTTGCTGTAGATGAAATTGGAAGCAAGTAATGTTTGAGCTGGAAGTCTTTTGATTGATCTCCTCTTTGATATCACTGTTGACCTCTCAACGGAACTGAGAGGATCAGACTCGGTGGAGACGATGGAAGTTAACTGTGATGGCAGCGGGACCTGCCCTAAAATCAAAGCAAGACGCACTGGGTCCTTTCAATCGGTGCAAGTCTCAATAGGCATGAATCTCTGGCATTCGACGAGTTGAGTTGGCACAACAGATGCTTTAAATGAAAGCGATGTTGACAACAAAACTCTCTCCTTGGGTTCTTGAGTGTTGCTTCCGAGGATTGATTCGATTCGATTCGATTCGATTCATCATCCCAAGCACACCTCGGCAGCAACATCTGTTGTGAAGACACGTTTGGCTTGCGCGCAGGATTATTAGCTTTAACCCTTTTGTAGTTCTCAAAGATGAAGCAGAACCTCTGCCAACCACAAAATGCGGACTTCGGTTTTGCTGCCAGACAACACGAAGGGTGGTGGTGGCCATTGATTCTCGTCCGAGTGTTTGGACTCGACTGTGCAAGTCTCGTACTCCGTTGGCCCAACAACACGAGCCATATATTGCTGAAATCTTTTGTGGTTGTTGTCTCCCTTTGCCTGAAAACAATGGCGACTCCTGCCGAAGTAGTTGCTGAGCAACATGAGGAGGCTCGGCGTTTGTTGTTCTCTATGCCTTGTGCTGCTCCCCCAAGCCATGAGGAAATTCCCTTGTCGATGAAGACATGTCCCACCCTGGATCTGTTTGCGTCTGAGAAAGAAGAGGAGGAAGAGAAAAAGGCCTGTGATGAGCCAGTCAGTAGTCCTTCCAGTGGAGAGACACATAGTCATGATGCAACCGCCATTGTGCCTTGGTCGTCTCGAGGGCGTGTGGATGTCTCCAAGATCCAAGCACTGGTCAAGGAGGGTTATCGAATCATTGAGCACACGCCACCACCACCAGCAACCAAGAACAAGCAGAAAGCATCCAACAAGAAGAATCAAAATAATGCCAATGGCAGCAACAACAAAAACAAACCGAAACAACAGCAACCACGACTATTTGGCCCGCAATATTCGGCTACCGATATCAAATCGACAACCAACTTGTGGGATCCCGTCAATGCCGCTGTCAACAATGTGAATATCATCCGACCGTCGCATGATGCCTGGGGAATTGGCAAAATTGTCCTCATTTTTGCAGATGACTTTCTGCAAGGAACCTACGAGTTGCCGTGGTGGCATTTGCGAACAGATATCCGACAAGCCGTGGCACCCATTCTAGACTGTCTCCAAATTCAAACCAATCAAATTGTTCGTCTATTGTTGGCCAGTTTGCCACCGGGAACCACCATTCCCTTGCATCAAGACAGTGGCGCTTGGGTTTGCCAAACACATCGAGTACACGTACCCATTATTGTGACAGAACCAGACAAGATTATGTTCCGAGTGGGTCTCACAGACCAGCAATTGCAACGGATTGATTGTACTCCGGGACATGTCTTTGAAATGAACAATCAATGTCGACATGCCGTTAGCAATTGCAGTGACGATTATCGGGTTCACTTGATTTTGGACTACACATCATCATCCTCATCCAACAACAACAACAACAACAACAACAACAACAACGAACGACCACAACAACAACTTCAACATGTAAAATTGGATCCGGGAGAGAAACTCTTGCAGACTCGTCGGTCGGTCGATCGACTCCGCAATCAAGGGTCGAGGCCAACGCCCTCCTTTTTGATCCTCGGAGCTCAAAAGGCCGGTACTACGTCGCTATACGAGTACATGATGCAACACCCTCTCATTGTCAGACCCAAACGCCGAGAAACGCATTGCCTCGATTGGCGATGGAAGGAAGAAATTGCCAAGGGCAGCAACTTTACAGAGAAACAACTAAGAGAGCACTGTGAACTCTTCTACGAAACACAAGCCCTCAAACTACACCCCAGTTGTTGCACGGGAGATTCCACACCCAGCTACTGGCTCGATAGTCGACGAGTCATCCCGAGACTCAAAATGGTGTTTCCCTGGCGCATCTCCTTCTTGGTGCTCACGCGAAACCCTATACAACGAGCCGAATCGCATTATGCCATGGTCACAAGTTCGGAAGGAACACCGGCGCAACTCAAGACACGAGGAACCGAATGGAGAGAGAAATCGTTTGTGCAAGTCGTACACGAGGAATTCCAAAACATGCACCAGTGCGGATTGATCCCCTATTGGGACATGGATGCTGGGACTGTTGACCAAACAGTGTTTGATGGCTTTATCAATTCGGCAGAGGAAGATCAGGCATGGAGCTTGTATCTGGACCGGCATGTGCCGCTACATACCGGCTCCTACGGTGTCTTGGCCCGTGGCTTGTACGCTCTTCAGATGCGGCCATGGTTGCATGCGTTTCATCCACAGGACTTTTTGTGCCTCCAACTGGAACGAGACCTGAACGCTACAACTGTGCAAGCCACCATGGAACGTGTCTTTGATCATGTGGGAGTGCCGTCATCCTTTACCTTGGCAGATGTCTCACCCCAAAACACCCGACAGTACGAACCCAACATGGACGAGAATCTGTATCAAGTTCTAGAACGATTCTTTGAACCGCACAATCGACGATGGGAGGCTCTTGTGGCAACGCTACCGAACCAGTCCAACAAAGTTGGGACCATGGTGTAAATAAATAATTGGTGGGCGTCAGTATCTAGATATCTCTAGCTACCGGTAGCTAGTAGCAAGATTGCGAGGGTTCGAGTCATCCTCCTAGCTAGTGGGGTTATACTGTAGAAGCAATCGTCCAAAGAGTTCAACTAACTAAACGAGTATGAAAGTACACATCTTCACCTCCAAAAAAACTCCCACAATCTCATTTCAATTTCGGGTGAAGCTCAGTTGCGTTTACTGAGCACGTACTAGTAGAGTTCGTCGGAGGCTTTTGTTGTAAAGAGAGGGCAAAGTGAACAGGTGCGTGGAGCAGTCGAGAAGCATGTATCAAGAACTTGCAACAATTCACCTTTTAGCTACCGGTACAACCCATTCTTGGTGTTGGAGTGACGATAAAAGTGAAGTATACTGCTTCATCCTCTCTGCTATTGAAGCTGCTAATGGACTGTGCTGCCCCACAAAACACAAAAACACAGACGAAAGGGTTCACTAGCTGGCTACCAGTACGGATGGTTCGCTATTATTGTAGGTGACTTCTGTGGCCCATCCTATGCCCTCCATGGAGGACGGCTGGGTTTGGGCCTGTCGGAGATGCTGTCACTACCTTGATGAGACGTGTTGCCAACTGAGGTCCTGCCCTTTGAACCAACAAGGTCTAGCTAACCAGACAAGGAGGGAGGAGGGAGCTAGAAAATATTATTTGCAGAGATGAAACGACCGTGAGACCGCAACAGCTAGCTACCGCAACCCAGCCACCTGGCTGGCCTCTAGAACCACCATCGCAAAAAGAAGCTCATACTAGCTTGTGGCTGGCTTGAAGGAGTTTGTTCACGTCACCTTCTAAAACGCTAGCTGCGTCGTACTAGTACGGTAGCTGGCTTCGCGGCTACTTTGTTGTTGCTTGACCCTTCCATGTCCATATCTGTAAGCGAAGATAACGATACTGTGCCTTGCACCGGTTTGACGTGGTCCGTCCTGGCAATTGCAATGTGCGAGCGAACGGTGGGAAGTGTGACTGTGTTCGAGAGAGCGTTCCGATTTTGGAAAGCAGGAGCAGAGCAAAAGCTGACTATTCAAGCTCTATTCAGAAGACCATAACTCCATGTTTCACTTCCCGCGACCTTTGGTCCCGCAATTCTTGGACTTTATTGCTTGCCGGCCTTTTTACTACTAATCACTCAGAAGTGCGTAACCAACCCAACCACGTCATAGTCTCCTCTACAATGCTTGTTTATGAGTCTAGAGTACTGTCGTCTGTGGATCTTTCTCTACTTCCACAGAAGGGAGAAATAATCGTTTGACTGTTCTGGGTTCTTTTCAAGGAACTATGATGCATCTTACGAGTACTACTGAACAAAGGGCGTCAGTCTGTGACTTGAAGTTCCGGATATTTGCTAGGCCTTTGCCTTCTTCAGGGTTGTGACGTTGGAACATGGTTCTTTTATCAGAAATCAAGCCTTTCACCTGCTCATTAGAAGTATTGTTACTGTTTACTCAACCGGAGACCGCCACCCAATTGTTAATTGTTAGCTAGCTACAAGTAGTTGTTGGAACCGGTAGAGGATTGGATTGCCTCATCTCAACTGAGCACCCAATACCGGTATGCCAACCAAGGATGATTGGGTACCTTTCAAACCAACATCGTTGCCAGCAAATAATAACACCCAATGGCTCGCTCCATTGTTGTGATATTGACTGAGATCTGGTCTCCTGAAGGTAGTGCAATTTGTTCAACAAAGTAAGCCTCTAAGGAGGCCAGTGTGGCCGGTGAGCAGACTTGACTGTGGGAAATACCCGGGCCTTAGCTCGTGGGTTGTCCTCAAGCACATCTCGTCTGAATCCGTTATTAGACGTTCAGTTTTTTTTTAAAGTAATGGAACAGGGGGGTAAGAACAGCTGATAGAACAGAATTTCCACTGGTTTCCTACTTTGAGATTCAGCTGAAAAGTTGAAACAAAATAAAATGTATTCCATCAAGCCAGATTTCTTCTGCAAACTCCCTCCATCTCTAGCTAGTTTTATCCAAAACAAATCTTGAAACCTAGAATGGGCTCACCGTGATTTCTTAAAACCATGACAGAAATATAGCAGTAAAGCTGCAGCAATCAAGAATCTGGATTCCACACGCGTAATAATCATATTTAGTGTTATCGCTGGAGAAAAGAACCATTAATTGATACGATTTTGATAGCAATTGTTTGCTAGTATCACAGAAATCAGCTTCGCTAGACTTTGGTACAACCTGTACAGCGGTCCGCTCAAGAAGTACACGTCCTAGCTAGCTAGCTCAACTGCTATAGCGCTATACATGTAGCTCCAATTATAGCTACAGGAGTAGCAAGAAATTAGCAAGTGTATGCATATCCACGTACTTAGCCACGTAGCCGCCGATCGACGGTTTCTAATTAATTTCCCATCAATCCAAGGTACAGTACTCCGCTTATTTGTGTAGTAAAGGCGCTTATTTCTGAGTGCACTCCTCAACCTCTATCATAAGATATTTCCACAGGCTCCTTTGAAGTAGAGTACGAGTGGTTAGAAAAGGATAATACCGTACCGGTAGAAGGTTGAAGACCACAACAAATTGCTTCAAAACCTACATTTTGCAAAATATTCTGTCAAACTTTGCTCCAATTGCCACTTCTGTTCGACGCATTGAGAAAGAAGAGGCAGATCACCTTATATCGCCTTCCCTGCGATCCGAATGGCATCGTTTGGCCTGCAAACTCATCTATGCATATTACTATATAGATAGATTGCAATTGGGGTTCAGGGTGAAAGAAACGGAGCACAATTCTGTGAGAAAGCCCGGCCCACTGGCTAGTCCACCATGAGCTTCGCATCCAACGATCCGGTTTCTTATATCTAAGTTTAAAATTTAAGTTTGTTTAGCCAATTGAAGTGGGAACTGGCTTCTTTTCTTTGATATCCTTGATTGGATTTTGCAAGTGTCCAGACAATCTGTCAAGCTTTGACACTCCCAGCCCGCAATCACAGCCTCGAGGCCAGGCTTCCCGTGAGGATTGAATGGAGGCTTTGGACGAACAAGCCTGAGTACTTAAGGAGTAACAGTCGATTGAAATATTGCGAGGTTTCATTCCGCAGCATCAGGTTTACATGGAGTTGGAGGAAATTCGCAATTCTTCTATCCGGCGGTGCTTGCTGAGAGATCAGGATGGCAAGGTGTCTGGAACATTCATTACCCAAACACAGGTACCGGTATGCATACTGCAGTCGAAATGGCGAAGTTCTATACTCCTGCTGATCCATTCTGGTATTATGGCCAGATCTAGTCCCTAATGATGAGTGGTATCTCAAGGGGTCCTCGATGAAGCGAGACTGAGGATAGCTCTCAAGCAGTAGCTTCAAATCTTCAAACTCTAAACTATGCGGCTGGTTCACTAGCTACCAGTACCGTGGTACATAATCGGGTGCTTCTGGTAGTACTTTGGTTCCTCTTCTAGCTGGATTGTGTCGGAATCAGATCATGCTACCTGGTATTGGCATTTTTTAGCAACATCAGGACGAGCTCCGTTTTGGCCAATTACTACGTGTAGTGGTCTAGAGCTACTAGTAGCTAGAGCTACAGGTATTATGAAAGTCTCTCCGTTGCTACGGGTGTTCCCAACTCCCTGCTAGATAGGTAAATGGATTTAAGTTGACCTTGGACGCTTTAATGAAACGATCACTGAGTCAGAGAAGGCCATAGATGTCCTTTCAATTGCCAATATGTCTTTACGCAATGAGGCTTCCAAGCTCTTCCACCCAACCAAGAGAGAATTCCGCCCCTTGAAAGTGTACTCGGAGCATGGATACTTTTCGATACAGTACTGTCCTCGGCTTGATTGTCCTGTAATATCAGAACGGCCCATGTAGCTTCCACTGCTCCCAGTACTATTCTAGCTAAAATGAGAGAGGGCACAAAATCTCTTCTTGCTTTTGGCAACCACAACCAACTCACTCACTGCTGTTGCTCTTCCTTCTTGATAATTGGAAGATAATACTAACTAATATACCAATGGCAAGCAAGATGAACAACAACATGAGCAGCACCCCCTGGACAACCACAAGTATGGTACCAATCTGCCCAGCCCCTCCGGCGCCAACGCTGCTGGCGCCTTCCTCCCAACAGCTGAACACTCCTTTGATCGCGTCAACGCTGGTGCTGGAACCGTCTCTGAGCGGACAGCCTCCCGCACAGAATCCCGATCAGGGCTTCCCCGTCAGGTTGCATTACATGCTAACGGACATTCAGAAGGAAGGAATCTTTACTCACATTGTGTCCTGGCAGCCCCATGGACGGTGCTTTGTGGTTCACGACAAGAAGCAGTTTGTGGAGAAGATTCTCTGCCTCTGGTTCCGCCAGTCCAAATGGGCCAGCTTTCAGAGGCAGCTCAACATGTACGGCTTCAAGCGTTTGAGCCATGGGCTGGACAAGGGTGGTAAGTTGGATGGATGACTGACATGATTGTTTGAGTGTTGGTGCGGACTCCCGCGATAAGACCTGTGTCTCATATAGTTTTCATTGCTCTCCTCCCCCATGATGACACAGGCTACTACCATGACCTCTTCCTCCAGAACTGCCCGCAGTTGGCTCGTCAAATTCAGCGACACAAGGTCAAGGGAAAAGGACCTCGTCGTCCTGCTCAGCCCGACGCCGAGCCAAACTTCTACAGTTTGCCCTCCATGAACAGCCCTCCTCCGCCTGCCCCTGCGGTCAAGAACTACCACCACACGCATTATTCCTGCGGCGCGCCAGCAAACGTCATGGCAGCCACCTTGCCACAGCCCACCACTGGTGCACCGGCTGGTGCCATTACCCTTCGAAACACGGTTGGGTTGACGCTCTTGACGGTCCCCAAGCTGTCGGATATCTTTCCCACCCTCCCGGGAACCCGCAATGCAGATGAAGAGGATGCCTTGACGTTGGAGGAGTTGGCTTTGTTCAGTTAGGAGGATTGCTTCCTTTGCTATATATCTACTGTACAGTTGCTCATCTGGAGACCTCGCCACAAGACAAACAAAGTGGGGGCTCTTTTGTCGAGTGGATGTCCTTGCGCATTATCTTCACTTAATTCCATCCCTTCTACATTTCAAGTTCATTTGTTGTCTATTTGAGATACCAGTACTGTCATCAGCGGACGGATTAGCCAAAAGTCATCACTGTTGTACTTGCTTCAAAAACAACGTTAACGTTATAACTAAGAACATTTGATGGCCTTATTACTATAGTATTGCTTTTTGCAAGAATAGGTGCGATGGAGTAGTAGTTTTGGGAAACCGTAGGTACCTGGTAGGTACAGGTAGACCTCATGCGGAGGGCTTCCAGGACGTGGCGCTAATAATGTTTCTGGAACTCAAGTACCAAAGTGTGGAGGTCGATCGAGGGGGGCGGTGGGAGAAAATGTTGCTGCGTCTTGTCATGTAGCAGCCGTCTGGCAGTATTCCCGATAGCTGGGTAGCGGCGTATGGACGACGCCCCAAGCCTAATTTCAAAAGTCGTTCTGCCATCGTCCGTAATTCAGCAAATCCCGGAGTCTATTGATCCTCCTACAGTAGAACTAGAAAGCAGACAGTACGTCCACGAATAAAAGACAAGTAGCAACGTAGCAACAGGACTAACACTAGGACTACAGCTAAATGGATTTTACTGGGTTCTTCAGCGCCTTCCTCAGCAACGGCAACACGCACCGAAGATTCTCGGGCCGAATTAGGGGGACACAGTCGGGTTGGGCGCATTCTGCCTTCAGATGCATGGTTGTTTCTTGACCGCGGGATGAAGAGTGGTCGCCAATAGGACCCACAAAGGTGGAGACGGGAAAGCAATCTGTGAAGCTGGAGATCCCCATCAGAAAGATTCCATTGTCCTCTTCAATCAGTTCTTTGCCGCATTGCAGGTTATGGTGGCCGGATGTTGCACTCGAGCGCGGACTGACCTCATCGCACCAGAGAGGCCGTCCACTGTTAGGACACTTTCGAAAGCAGCCAAGCTTGACAAGTTCCGTTGCCAGCAGAGCACCAGCACTACTGTGCCATCCTTTCCAGCCATATCCGAACTTGCCTGTATAGGAGCTCTTTCCGTGCGGGTTCCGCAAACAGACCAACCTTGTGTTTGCCACAACCCCCACCCACAGAATTGAGTAACCATGATTGGCGCAGAGTCCTTCTACACGCTTTCGACAATGAGCCACACGCGCACAGACGCCTTGGGATGCCTCAAGCACTGCATAGATTTCGTTCAGTTGGGTCCGTTCGTAGCGAACTTCCATGGCCAATGGAGCTCCTGTCAACAGCTGCAGAGCCCTGGCGGGATGTCTGTACAAACTGTTATACTTGTAGTGGCCATCCAATGAAGCGTAGGACCCTTGAACTTTGACAATCACCTTTTCCAAATATTCCGGCCATGTATCACCTAACTGCGAGTGTAATGATGGAGGTTCTTCCCTGTTGCAGTTGCACAACAGGTAGTCATCCAATAGAAGATATCTTTCCTTGCCTTGGGGGTATAGTCGCACACTGAAGGCACCACATTGTGCCAGAGCCTTTTCTGAACACTGTCCAAACGCGTCTCGGATAAATTGAGGCCATTGACTTGCCAAGGAAGCAAATCCGCTGCAAAACCCACAGTTGCCAATCCTTCCTTGCAGCGTATTGTCAGCAGAGATGGTCGAAAAGAGCGGGTATAGGTGGCTCTTTCTCTTCCATCGGTGAGAGGCGGCAAGGCGGCAAAAGTGTACAACTCTCTGGGATCGTTTGTCACCGCCTGAGGCCAAATCACGGCAGTTGGAGGACGTGATGATGCCTGGTTGCAACGCAAATTGACTGGTTGGAGTGGTGTTGACAAGCACCTGACTATGGACGGGAAACTCGTGGTCAAGGAACAATGCTCGCTGCCCGTTAGTCTTTGCGTCATCCAGAAGAAAAGGTAATGGATCTTTGTGGTAGAACTTTATACCAAGATAACAATCGTAAGGGACGTCTCGGAGTGCCCGTGCGGTATCCTCGGCGGTCCAGAAATCGAGAGTCTCTACCGAAATCTGTGTCTGTTCCATGACGATAGGATCCTCATTTCGGCATGTTGTGGCGGCTGAATGTGCAGAAAGTGGAATCTGTTCCATTATTGTTCTTTGCGTGGTCCAATGCTCGAAGAAGCCGTCGTCTTATGTGAGAGGAAGAGCCATCACCCTCTTATTCACCAAGACACCAAGAGTCAAGTGTCTTGCAGAAAACTCAACGGTGGTCCAGTCTCATTCGGAACGGTGACCCAACCGGCAGACGGTCCGAACGAAGCATGAAATATCATCCAGATCGATGGCTTATTAATAAAAGCGAAAAACTTCTATGCATACCGTCGACTGACAGGCTGCCTGGTGCAGTACCGGTACAGACATCGACAGATTATCAACCTACTTGTCGCAGTATACCGTTCCCGTAATCAGTAAGTACACTTTGTAGTAAGTTAGTTGGTAATAAGTTTACTCTGCGTCGACATATTTAGGGAGGTGCACTTAGCGGCTGTACTAGATGACCAAGGCATTTGACTGATTAAATTTTTAACACAAGAATCTCCTTTTAACGAGGGCTGGAACATGTTATTCCGTACTATTAATAGTGAGCTTTCCCCTTTACTCCGAGCATGCCTGCATGAGCTCTGTGTCTACAGTACCGCATTTATGTAGCGGTCGACATACATACCACTGTATGTACCATCTGGAAGCTCAGCTCTTAATTCGATTCGACTTCTACCCTGATTATAAAAGATTTGCTAGCTAGTACTCAACTTTGGCTGAGTGAAGAATCGCGCCTTCGCTCAGTTTGCTATGGTATCGGTAGCCAGGCAGGGCTACTTTTCGGCCAATACCGGTACTGGACTGTACCGGTATGCCATGTCACATCCATTGCTTCCTTTCCCAATAGAAATATCATAGATTTGATAGCACAATGTGATTTTCTCCACTAAACTTCCAGGTGTCAAATGGAAGGCTACAGACTTCATTTTTGGTTGTCAATGTAGGATTTGTATGGGGCAAAATAGGATGGCTGCCTTGTATCAATACCATACCTTCCTAGTATATTTTTATGATATTGCATGCACTAGGATTGTAGTTGGTCAGGAGCTCTCTCCAATCAAAACTACTAGTACATGCAGTCTAACTCTTAGAAGATACTTGTATGGTACCGGTAGTATCGTCAGAACACACAAGCCGCGCACTGCTACCTAGTATTAATTTTTGTTTGAAATCTTGATATCTTAAATACAAGGCTATACTTAAAAGCACTTTTCAATATGACTACCAGCGAAATCTATGACTTATGGAAGGCTTAAGCCTAGTAAGTGTATATTTAAGTTCGGAGAAATTTGTGCTATTAAATAGTAAGCAGTGGTGAAATACGCCTTAAGGTATGTTTAAAGCATCAATGACTCCACATAAAAAATTTCACAGTGGTCAAACTTGGTCTCGCTTCCACTGCTTCCACGAGTTTCCACATTGGAATGTTGGAACCGCTTTGAACCTTGGAACTTGGAACCTTGGAACATGGAACCAACGAACCAACAGGTTGGAAGATGGCACGCAGCAGCACTTGGACAGCTCACCTATCTATCATCACCTCACAACCCACAACCACACCAATAGCCCAAATACTGCCCAAATACACCCGGAGGCGAACAACAGTAAAAAGGAAAGCTCTCCGTGGTTTGTTCCACCAGCCAGCTACTCATTCCACCACGCCTTGCTTTAGAAACCAACCACGTTGAGCATTTGGATCATTATCTATCTTCCTACCGTACTAGTCTATTTCATCTTCATTCCTTGCTGCTCACACACTAACTAACTGCAATGATTCGACTATTTCGAGGCAACAGCGCCAAGAAGCGGCAGATGGCGAGAGAGCCCGAGATAAATCCGTTGGCGTCTCTTCAGTCGATCAAGCACATGAACTACGTAAGCGACAATATGCAGACGAGCAAGTTGGCCAAGTCATGGGCGATTGCCGAGACCAAGGTGGTCAATATCCTTCGTGTGTCGGCCATTATAGCTCTGCTGGTGGCGGCCGCAGTAGTGGCTACCGGTGTGTTTCTGTATACCCGCAATGGGGAAGAGCAAGATTTCCAAATTGCCTTTGAAGACAGTGCGATTCAAGTGATTGACAGTTTCCATGAAGCCATTGAACGCAATATGGGAGCCGTTGCTTCCTTGAGCAATAGCATCACCAGTTATGCGCTGGAAACCAACAAGAGTTTTCCCTTCGTCACTTTGCCGCACTTTGAAATCAAGGGATCTGATATCAGGGCACAATCGGGATCGCATCTTCTCCATTGGTGTCCACTTGTGTCAGATCACAACAGGGGGGATTGGGAAGAATACTCCTTTCAAAATAGGCATCATGCTACGCAAGCCATACAGTATGACACCAAGTATCGGATGGAACAAGATCAGATGTATGGCTATGGAACAAGATCAAGACAACGACAACTGCAACAGCTACAAGCTCAGAATGAAACTGATTCTGAAACACAACAATTCAACGAGGATCTGGAAGCTTTAGTATCAACGGATACCCAAGGAGTCTTGGGGGTTAGACCCACCACTCTTAACGACGGGTCAAATTACCATCCCTATATCTGGACCTCGGGATCAACCACACCCAGAGGAGATGTCCCCCAAGGATCCGGAGACGGAAATTACATGCCCCTTTGGCAGCAAAGGTAAGGACCCAGAATGCGACACAGCGTGCATATATTATAGAGAGCTGAAACTGACCTTTATTTCATTCCCTTGCTGTATTGCTTGGTTCTTTTCTATTCTATTCATTCTCTTGACCAGTCCTGCCGATGCCCGCCTAGCTTCAGCGCTCAACTTGGACGTTGCCAGATCAAATTTCATCGCCAAGGATCTCATCCATACAATGCAAACGGAACAAATGGCCGTTTTGAACATGGCGGCAGAGCCAAGGGAAATATCAAAGGCACAATTCCAATACTATCTGAAAGTCTCACAATACAGACATCGAGCGGAAGAACTCGTCGACGACTGGCATACCCTGCTATCCTATCCGGTCTTTGATACCTTTGACGCAGACACACGCAACGTGGCCGGCATGATCACCACCGATATTTACTGGAAAGTCTTTTTTAGCAATTTGCTACCCACCAATCTGCGCGGGCTCGTCTGTGTCATTACAAACTCTTTCAATCAGACGTTCTC